ACGCATACTGGAGTCAAGAGTAACTCTTTGTAAAACAAACAGCGAGTGCTAAGATTGACAAGACCGCAATAGCCCTGGTCTGTCTGCAATAAGTTATTTTAAAACAGGTAGAGGTGCCCCCACTGCGTACTCGTACTGTGTCTCAATCAGGGAGGATGCATTTCGATAGATAAATGCATGAAAGGAGGATTACGTGCGCATCAGAAGCCAGCCTGGGGGCTACAACAGACGGTGAGCTCCCACGCTCTCGCCTCACCTCTCACCTCTGACGGTGAAGAAAGTGGATGTGGATCTGCGGGTCTCGCGATGCCGGAGAGCACATGGGCATGGGCGGGATTAGGTCAGAGTCATTATGCCTTTTCTTGCCGCTCTCTATCGCTTCAAGGACTGTCGTGCGTATGCATTATTCTCTGAGACATGGGGGTTCTAGAAGACGCAGTCATCTCGAAAAAGGCGGACTTGGTGCTTCTGCAAGTCCTCTTACGTGGCACGATGAGACATGAGGTAGGAGCAGACTTTGCAAGTCTCCAGGCTACCGCAGCTCGTATCAGCTATTCCCAGCCATACATTTGTCATTTGAAGGGTCAAATGTCGTTGGGCTGATGTCGGTCGGTGGTTTATGGAGCATCAAGAGATGACACCGGCTTGAATTACCGACAGAAAGCGTGGGGCCGGCTGCTACACTCAAAACCTAGATCTGCACTAACATGGCATTTCAATGCTACAGCTCCTCATCCCCATTCTCATCACAAACTTCGCACAATACTCCACAATGCGGAAGGTAGGAGAGACAGACACACACACACGCCCGCTCTCTGACTCTCACACTGCCCCCCAGTCCATGCAGAGGACGGGCAGCGCCGTGTCCACATGTCCAGTCACGTACATGCGAAGGGCTGATTGCATGTCCGAAGGTGCACATACCACACGATGATGATGTTGTTGATGATGACGATGACTGCTGAGCTTAGCTTAGCACGTTTGCAGCAGCTTGAGCAACAAGGCGTCAGTCGCCGAGACCGAGGCAGGGTGGTCCTATTCTCGAAGGCACGACGCACGCTAATGTCATCCTATGCCTCGTGCCGTTCCTGTCCTTGTCCGAAGGCTATCGGGATCATTGGTTGTGTTTGTCTTGCCTGGCTGTGACAGGACTCTGCATGACTGATACCCTTTTTAGACGGTGAGCGGCTCGAAGAGGCTTACATGCGTACGGTACCAGATACTTGTCCTCCCTACCTCTGCACATTCGACTTACACACACATGCGTACTACCTCGCGAGCGTAGGCTTGACTGCAGCAGGCTGCAAGCTGCGAAACCACCACGCTCCTATCATATGATCATGCAAGCTCTCGTTACAGTACAACGTACTGTATAATACTCTGTATTTACTACGCATCTAGATGATGTACGATGGTCCTCCTTCACCATTTTTGGCCGGGTCGGCGCCTGGGGACGGCTATTTTTACCAGACTAGTTCGAATAGCACTCTCCCATGACGACGCGGGAGTCAGATGCGTAGCTGGGCAGCTATTCCCTCTCCACTTCGCGCCTCGTTTTGCTCTCTGATGGGGGGTTTTGAGGTTCTAGCGTGCCATTCACCGCCTCCTCGAGGTCCTGCTGTGCATGCCGGCTCACTGAATACATGCCTATGTACTGTACAGAAGGGTCTGGTACTAGGTGGACAGTACGTACTTGGGCTGCCAGTGTGTCAGCTTGTTGCCCAGATCCTCCCGGCGCGGTGATCCACAGTTGGGTTAGGGCAATTGAACCGGTCTGCCTGTCCGCCTCTATCTGTCAATCTCCCTTAGTCCAAGGTACGTATTGAGTGCACCGAGTAGCGTGGTGCCATTCCGATGGTGTAAGGGAGCACAATACTGCACTTGTGGCAACAGAAAATGCTTTTCTCCTGCAAGTACGGCATTGGCGTGGACAATCGTTGGAACATTGTGCCGATAAACCTCCCTTCGTTAACGCAGTAGAGATAGGATTAGGTTGTCGGCCCTTTCCTAGATGTAACTGGGTAGGACAGTACTCAGGTGACCCGGACCCGGAAAGAACATTGAATTATCCAGGGATTATGAGAATGAATGAACGAATGAATTGGGATGAATACCGGTAAACGGATGGATGGCATTGTAGCCCGCCTGTTCAGGACTCTCCAGATTCAGCTGCCAACCACAGTGACCGTGGAGCTGGGTTCGCTGCACACGCTGCTTTTTCCCCCGCTAAGAACCAAGGCCCGAAAGCAAATGGAAGGCGATCCGAGACAACGATTTCGGACTGCTGGAAATCTGGGCAACGCCCCCATCACAGAAAAACCAATGTGACGAAGGCGCTAGAGTGATAATCACCAGCAGCAGCAGCCGGCTAATTCGGTCAAACAATGGAGCAATGGAAGGCCATCCAGTGCCATCATCCTAAATGAAGCTACCTTACGGTATTACTTTACCTCACGCAACCTGATTCCCATCCATCATCGATCGCCCTTTCCATGCAGATGCAGGTCGGTGTCGTGTTGTCTGTCTCAAAGCGTTCCTTCCAGGACAACACTTCCTTCCTTCCTTCTTGTGGGGGAAGAATGTCTACCTGGGTACTCTATTTACCAACCTTAGGTACTCAGGTAGAGTAGGTATCTATCTATCCTAGGTAGCTACCTACCTCACATCCCACGTAATTACATACTATGCAGTAGGTAGCTGCTTTCTGGGCAGGATCCAACATGCCAGGTCCAGGTCCAAGTCCAGTACCCAATTTCAGCTTCAGACTCGCGAAATTGCGGTAGGTAAGTACCTGCAGTACCTACATTTCCATCTGTCTCCCCCTTGCCCGATTTTCCTTATGCTCTTGACGCTCTGCATGTAAGGCACGTAGGTATGCCGGTATGCACGTACACACTCGCTCAAACACCATCTCCATATCCCCATACCAGCCAACCCAACCCGATCCGAAGCCCGCCTTTTTGGCTCAGGCGGTCACCGCGTGTGTCGTTTGTATGGGCACCGCATTACCATACGACGTCATAATTATTCGCAATTCCCCGCTGTTGCCGGAGCCTCTGCCAGCTCACTCTCGCACCCTCACCCTCACCCTCACCCTCGCCCGCGCCCGCCGGCCGTGCCATGCCACGCGAAGCCATGACAAGACCAACCCAGACCAGACAGGCCCCGGTCGATGCCGTTTGCCGGTGAGCGGAGCAGGTCCATGCCAGCCAGTAGGCGTGAGGCTTACAGAGGGTGTGAGAGACCAACCAGCAAGAAAAGAGTCAGAGCACAACACGACACAGGACAGCACAGCACCGCACAGCGCACTGCACCGCAGCACACGGCTTTCACGTCACGGGGCCATGACATGGGCCGGAGTACAGCTCTACAAACTGGGCAACGAGGTCGTGGCGGCATCGCCGGGATCCTGGCAAGGCCCGCGGCAACACCCTCCGCGTCAATCGTTGCCAATGGGCTCGGTGATGGGTGGCTCCATGCATATGCACTCAGCACCTCTGCGTCTGGTCTGTACGTAGGGCGCTGGCGTCTAGTTAATAGTCGGGGAGAAAGGTACTGACTACCTACCACCACACACGCTGTCAGTCGCAGTGCCTCGCTACCTACCTCTATGAAGGGGGGGGGGAGGAAGGGGGGGAACCGGTCGCCTGGGCTGGGCTGGGCTGGGCTGGGGGCCATTCCGCACTAGAGTACTCCTCCCTTGATGTGCTGCCCGCCAGCGGTCTTGCTTATAACCCGGATATGCAGTTAAAAAGGGACATGATGTAACCGTGGTCTTGGGAGCAGCCTCTGCGCTAACTTTACCCGGTCCTAACCCCTACTGCACCGCGAAGTACCTTACTTATGTGCCTCTCCTAAGGACTTCACTTCTCTTTCCACCGACATGGATCCGCACAGGTTGACCGGGGGGATCCACCGGCCTGAAGAGGAGCTAACAAGCCCACCACCCCCAAGGAAACGGTCAGGGAGCTGGGCAAGGCCTATCCATGTACCGAAGATGCAGGGAAGTCGCAAGAGCTCAGGGTTGGACCATGTTGCTAGGTCCAAAAGCCCATGTCTTTTCTGGGCCATCACGCCCGGATCCCTCCAGAGCTATCGCCGCATCACCAACGGCTCTACCTGGGCTTGCTACCCGAAGTAGCTTGCCTGCTACGACCGGGAGGATCTTCTTTCGCCTCGCTTTCCGGGTACTGTCCCTTTCCTTTTGTCACCGCTGTTTCATTGCCTTACTTTCTAGCGAAAGATACTATGCCATGTACATCTGGAGCCACCAATATGGATCCGGTGACCTACGCTTCAGCCCTTTTTCTTATTCCATCGTCGTACCGTACAAATCTATTTCCTCTGCTCCTTTTTCGTGACTTCTCCTTCCTATTATTACATTCTCTAGATCAAGCTTCCCGCGTGTTGCGCCACCATCTCAGAAACTCTTACCAGTCTGCGGGTGTGTTACATCATCTGGCGCCAGTGTCGCCTGCTTTCTTAAGTCTCCTTTCCACGCTTCGACATATCATTAGAGTTGCTGGCTTCACAGCCACATAACCGGCATCGTGTTATCTCCCATAATAGCCTCCATAGGTTACACAAGCATCGCCCTACTTCCTATAAACGAGGCTTACTACCAATTTCCACGCCTGTTCCCATATTATCTCCATCATTCCCGCCTTTTTGCTACCTTGGTCTGCTCAACTCAGCCTTTCTCCCAACTTGGCACTAAGTTTCGGCAACTGAATGACCAAGGGTAACACGCAAACCAACCAGCAATATGACGACGCGAGGGCAGTTCAGGTCTTCGAGGATTAGGGGCTCTAGCACCCATTCGACCAAACCGCTCCCACCATTTCCCAAGAGGCAGATGCTCATTCTCGGTATGTTCAAGGTTCCTTTACTCATTAGTGCGATTCTAGTTCAACCTTCATAATCAGTAGGAATACAGTCATGGTGAGAATTGTTACTTACAACTCATAGCATTGTGTCGGATATGTGAGCCAATTGCTTTCATGTCTATATTTCCCTACATTTACTTCATGATTGAGGACTTCCATGTTACTCAAGACAAGACCAAGATCTCCTTCTACGCGGGAATGGTCACTTCAGCTTTCACTTTCGCGGAATTTTCGACTGGATTGTTGTGGGGACGACTGAGCGATAAGATTGGCAGGAAGCCTGTATTGTTGACAGGCTTGGCTGGCACCGGCATTAGTGTTTTGATTTTTGGTTTCGCTCCCAATGTTGGTGTTGCTCTCTTTGCAAGAGCGCTTGGAGGTCTCTTGAACGGGTAACTGCACTAGTCCCATCGTGATCTTGCAGCAGCTAACAAGATCTACAGGAACATCGGCGTCTTGCAGACAACCGTTGCCGAGCTTATCACTGTCAAGGAGCACCAGCGTGAGTCTTGGCTATGAGACATCACATCACCGGTCGTAGCTAACGTAAATATAGCTCGTGCTTACACAATCATGCCCCTGGTATGGTGCCTTGGGTAAGTCAACTTGAATTTCATCTCCCGAATGATCTCGCCTGATTGATTGACGTTCGACAGATCGATCATTGGTCCAATGATTGGCGGCGCCCTTGCAAGACCATGTCTGCTCTATCCAGATTTCTTCTCGCCGGGCAGCATATGGGAGCGATACCCCTATCTCCTCCCCAATTTGTTCAGCGCTGTGGCCGTATCATGCGGTGTTATCATCGGTCTTCTGTTCCTGGAGGAGACGCACCCTGAGAAGAAGTTTCGTCGGGACCGGGGAGTTGAATTGGGCAATTATCTTGTCAGTTTGTTCAGCCGCAAGTCTGCTCATGAGAAGCTAGACGACATGGAAACTGCATCTCTCCTCAGTCAGGATGATCAACTTCCGAGCTATCGCACCCGAGAAAACTCACCGCAACTTGCCTGTACTGTTGCTCCTGATGTTGAAGCACAGCCTCTGCTTGATGCTGAGCAGCATGCAACTGGATACCAGGCTACGGAGACCGAGTCCTCCCACATCACATATTCGCGTTCAGCAACAGTCATTGAGACTGAGAAGGAACAGAAGATCTTCACACGCCCGGTCGTGTTTAATATCATTTCATATGGCATACTGGCTTTGTAAGTTTGATAGACCTCCCTCAAGACATTGAACGCTAATATGCCTTTAGTCACACCATGACATTCGACCAGCTGTTTCCCGTATTCCTTAGCACCGAGTCTCCGGAGCAGCCGCAACCAATCTCGTTACCTTTCAAATTTGTCGATGGATTTGGACTCAGACAGAGTGAAATTGGTGTGATCCTGTCGGTGCAAGGCATGTATTCAATGTTCTGCACGTGCTTCATCTTCCCCTTAGTCGTCCGCCGGGTTGGAGCCCTTCAACTCTTCCGAATTCTTGCGATATCGTACTTCTTGCTCTATTTCTTCACCCCGTATCTGGTTTTGTTACCTGACAATCTACGGATGGCGGGCATCTATATCATGATTATTTGGAAGTGCACTTTCTCGACAATGGCATACCCGAGCAATGCAATCCTGCTAACGAACTCCGCGCCTACCACCAAGACGCTGGGGACGATCAATGGCGTTGCAGCGTCGACTGCCAGCTTGTGCCGGGCGTTTGGTCCGACGATTTCAGGATTTCTTTATGCCCTTGGCCTTTCCACTGGATATTCAGGCCTTGCCTGGTGGTGCAGTGGGCTGGTGACCATTGTCGGCGCCATCATAAGCCTTCGCGTCACCGAACCTAGAGGAAGGCTGGACGAGAAGAGCGAAGACGAGGAAACAGGGGAGGAGCGGACCCAGACTGGCGACAATATCCCGCACGAACCCACGCGGTGCTGAGGATCGACGCAGAATGGAAGTTGCCTTTTTCACGCGCGGTTGACTTGACGATCGATCTCTCGAATGACAGGAAAGCCAAAGTCATGAATTGATATATTCTCTCCATTGGGTGAGAAGGCGTTGTGGGACATATTTTGCATGAAAATATCAATCACGGTTAGAATTGGGTTTCAATGGACTGGAGCAACAAGAGGGACCGCTGGAAATTTCCTCTCAGGCCGTGTCCTCAGGCTTATTCTCTTTTTATTTCTTTCGGGTCTGGAAAACAGGGTTGCATCGAACACCGGATACAATGATTCGCTGGGAAGAGACAAAAAAAGACTGGAACAGGACGTTACACAACACCGCAGCACTGGCTGTGATCTTGGGGGTTGAGGATACCACCACAATACGGCGTCGGAAGAAAGCGAAGACGCAGAGCCGCTTCCTTCCACCTGTGGGGGAATGCGGCTCTGCCTGTCTTAAGGTTATGACTATTTTTTTTTTTTTTGAGAATTTTCACGGGATTTCCTAACACGTTTTTTGCCATTTCCAGGGAGCATGCGGCACACCGTTACATTGCGATTTCAATGGGGCACCCCTTATCTGACTTGATATTTTTGTTTGGCTGGGCATTTCAATTCTTGTTAGACGGACGATACCAGGGAGGAGGAATTCCCACGCGCGCTGTTTTGTCACTTTTTAGCTCTGCTGCTCATTTTGATGATGATGAAAGAAACAGAACAGATACGCTCGCTGTCATATTTAATGAAAGAGACACTTCACTCTCATGAGAGGTCCCATCCACTCGTGCGACGACTTTGAATTTCGGGAAACTCTTTGCGCTCGCTTGTGACCACCCCGTTCCCGCCTGACTGGACTGACCGCTGCCGGTCGGCTGGTAGGTCCAGCTTACCAAGGCCAAGGAACCCCCGACGGCCGTCGCGGGTGCGGGCACCAGTCAGTCAGTGGCCTACCAGCCTCGGTTCGGTGTAATTGGCGCCATGGATTGGCGTCAATGGGCCAGGAGCGTTTATCTTTTATCAGATTGCTTATCTGCTCTGATAGCAAACCTACCTACTGTACAGTAGGTATTTCATGATTGATTGATAACGAAAGCAATTGGATGAAGAAAGTCAGTGAGCCCTGAGTACTATGTACAGTATCTCGACACTAGCCATGAGGAGGCAGGCCCAAGACGAAAGGTAGCCATACGTTACGTCATATGGGATGTCGCGAGGACGGACGTAGACACGCTGTTGCACGGTATTATTCGTTGCAGTCCAGTCCAGTCCAGTGCAGTCGGCAGCCCTCCCAGAAGTTGGGGAGTGGGATCGAGATAGCGGGCAGTCGGGGGATTCGATCGTTTATTGTCTGTTGCTGCCACTCTGCTGGGACCCCGGGCCCGGCTGAGACCTGGGGAGGGACTGGCCTCACTGACTGACTGACTGACTGACTGACTGACTGACTGCTGGGTCTCTAGACTCTCTCTCCTCTCACTGCCTACTTGCGTACCGATTGCTGATTGCTGATTGCTGATTGCTGATTGCTGGGGGGCTGCGATGGGACGGGCTGAGAAATGCAATCAAGGCGAAGCTTGGAAAGGTGGGGGGCACGGAGATGGCGTTGATGGTGATTACTCGATTCGAACATCAGACAGGCCTCCTGTGATTGGACGGAACTCTCTTATCAATTGCCGTTAGATTTGTGTGCAGAGGAAGGTGAAGAGTTGGAGCTACCTAACCTCTTAGACTGGCAAGCTAAGCTGACTTGGGCTGTTCTGTACGGGCGGCGGCTGCGTTTCTTTTTCTCACCTACCTTCCCTACCTACCTACCTTGCAATCAATCGCCTGCAGAAACCTACCTACCTTCCGCCCACTACTCCGACACATTGCCAGCCAGCAAGCAATCAAAGCCTTGTTGGGGGTTTTATTTCACGCAAACAACGACAAAGTTGCTGGTTCTGCATAGACCGAGGATGCGCTTCATATCGTGACATATAATTTTAATCAGGTCCGAGTAGTCGTCCGAGCTCCAAGCGGTAACGGACTTTTATCACCTTGCGACCCCGGCGCAGTAGCTGGTCACCCCAGCAGTGAGCACCACAGGAAAAAAAACAGGCCCCTCATAATCCGGCAACAAGCAACGACACTTCAGTTATCTCTCACCGAGGCGGACATGGGGCGGAGGCAGCAGTGCAGCGACATTTCCTAGAATACAGTCGTCGACTATCGACCGGCGACACTCGCGATCCCCTTGCGGCTCTTCAGCACCCAATTGCACCTTGATCGCAACTCCCGTTGATTGTGTTACGTAACTCGGGTCTGCCGATCCCATCCCCCGACGACGCCAGCCTCCGGGACGCAGGTCGTGCCATCTCGGCAGCAACCAAGCATTATGCCGGCGCATTCACCTCCCTCTCCGGTCCTCCACCCGACCAAGCGGGCGCGGCAGACATCCCCCGACAAAGAGTCTCCCCCGTCCCTCGCTTCCGTCGGCGGTGGCCCATCGCCCCCGAGCGAGGCCACCCACGACACCGCCAGCGCTGCGGGCGGCAAGGTCGGCCAGAGCAGCAACTTCCGGAACGTGAGCGCGTGCAACCGCTGCAGGCTGCGCAAGAACAGGTGTGACCAGAAGCTGCCCAGCTGCGCCAGCTGCGAGAAGGCCAATGTCGCCTGCGTCGGATACGATCCCATCACCAAGAAGGAGATACCCCGCAGGTGCGATCCCCGTCCCCGAGGGCTCTCTCGTAAGCCCCGACACACCGTCATACTTGATGCTAACCTGTGTTCCAGCTATGTCTTCTACCTCGAGACTCGCGTCGAGCAACTCGAAGCGCTGCTGCGCTCGAATAACCTGTCCTTCCCTCCAGCAGAAAACCTGGAGTACTGCTCTCGAGTAGGGGAGACGGGCATTATCAAGTCTCCAACCGAAGCTCACAGTGTGCATTCGGAACACATAGATACCGGCGCTGGCAGGCATCAGAACAATGGAGACGAAAACAACAGGCTGCAGAAGCTCGTTTCCAAGTCGGGAATGTCAGGCGTCCCTGGCGCGTCGAATCCGCGATATCTGGGGTCAACATCTGGGGTCTCCTTTGCTCGTGTCGTCTTTGCTGCCGTCCAGTCATCGGTCTCTGACCAAAGGTCAACCTCTGACAAGAACGGAGTGCGGCCATACAAGCCTATCGCCGGTAACTCTGCCATGGCTACCGGCACCTCGATGCGAGATTCATTCTTTGGTCTTCACACGAAGCCCACCATCCACCCTGCGCCTTTCCCGGATAGAGACCTCGGCCACAGGCTTGTAACATTATATTTCGAGCATGCGAACCCCCAGATCCCCGTCCTCCATAAGGGCCAGTTTATGCAGATGTTTGAGCAGGCTTACGCCGACGAGGGCCGCATCAGGGGGCCCCGCGAGCTGTACATGTTAAATATGGTATTTGCGATAGGTGGTGGCATAATAATGGGCGATATGGGTAAGACTGATAGCAACAGCACGAAGCCAGAGGACGGGAAGGGTTCGAAGCAAGCTCAGCCGGAGGAGTATCACGCGAGCGCCATCGTTCATCTCGAGGCTTGTTTGAGCAATAGCGGCGGTGGTCTCGAAGAGCTCCAAGCTGTTCTCTTACTGGCTAATTTTGCACTGCTTCGACCGGTGCCACCGGGTTTGTGGTACATCATCGGTGTCGCGGTGAGGCTTGCCGTGGACCTGGGTCTTCATTACGAAGACGGAAAGGACATCGAGTCGGGCCTAGGCGAGTCAAATCACCAGGCTAGCGAGATCTTGAAGCGCGAGAAGGGACGGCGCGAGTTCATACGAGATCTCCGCCGTCGCTTATGGTGGTGCACATATTCCTTTGACCGCCTGGTCAGCGTATGCGTTGGTCGACCATTTGGCATTTCCGATCAGGTTATCACTACAGAATTCCCATCTCTCCTGGAGGACAAGTACATCACCGTGTCAGGCTTCATGGAGCCACCTCCGGATTTATCAGAGCCCACGTACAAGCTCGTGGCTCACCATTATTTCCGCTTGCGGTTACTCCAGTCCGAGATCCTACAAGTCCTTCAGTTCCAACAAGCACAGATTGCGCGGACTACTGGCCAAAACGAGACGAATCCACATATGCACACACATCTACCATCACCTTTCCTGTCAAAGTTCGACTCGTTCCGGTCCTGGCGGATAGATATTGATAGGAGGTTATACGAGTGGAAAACCTCGGCGCCAACTAAGCAGGAGACTGGCGTGGCATTTTCCACCGAGTTTCTCGATCTCAACTATTGGCAGGCAATCATCATGCTCTACCGACAAAGTCTGAGCGTACCGGCCATGTTTGAAGGCGAATATAATACCTCCACCGAGGTCAACAGCCCGGCCGTTCTCAACGTTGAGCTTCGGGAGGACGAGGACCGTGTATACCTCAAGGTTGCTGAAGCTGGACAGCGGATCCTACGGCTATACAGACAACTTCACCTGGTTGGCCTAGTCAATTACACATACTTAGCGACTCATCACCTATTCATGGCTGGCATTTCCTATCTTTATGCCATCTGGCATTCTCCCATTGTGAGGAGCCGCTTGGTAAGTTAAATTTCAAGATATTTTACTGAAAAATACTAACGTCCCCGTCAGAGTATGGACGAAGTCGACTTTACTATACTAGCAGCAACCTCCGTCTTCAGTGACTTGGTTGACAAGTGCCCACCCGCAGAAGCGTGCCGAGATGCGTTTGACCGAACAGCCAAGGCGACAATCAAGATGTCGAACTCCACAGGTGGTTTCGGTCAGGTCTTACACAGGAATAAACGTTCCGGCTCTAAGGGCAGCATGGAACATCATAGACTGGATTGGACTTCTAGGAGTGACAGCGCTTCTGTGTCCAGCCGACCGCACAGGCATCACCATAGATCTTCTCAACTTGATCTAGCATCTGTGTCAGATACCTACTCTAACAGCGCTACATCTTCTCATTTGCCGCCTATGGGGGCTCCAAACTTCCGCCTGTCGGCACTATCTAATATCAAGGGAGAGCCAGATGGTTTCGGATTTGGACGCCCAGTGCCAGGGCCGCCGCGGAGCAACGCCAGCGGGTCGGACATTGCTGTGACTCCAGACACTGCCGCAATCGACCCGTCACTCATGCCCTCGCCGACTGTCGCCCAGCATCGGACTCCGCCAGCTGCCGGCTCCCCAGTCTCGAGCATCACCCCACAGGCAAGCAGCCAGTTGGGGGCAGCCGCGCAAGGTGGCAACATGGGCAATTATTTTTCTCAACAGCAGGTTCTGTCGCCCGGAGGCATGAACTTTGCCAATCTGCAGGAGATGGACTTCCTGCAAGGCCTCGGGAATACTGGGACCGCGGACGCGAATGGGGACACGCAGATGGACCTCAACTTTGGCCTGGGGTGGGAGGGCCTGCATCACGACTTCAGCGACGGGCAGCAGGTCGACCTCTTTGACGGCTTCTTCTTTGGCGGCCAGCAAGGGGGCTCGGGTGCGAACGGTGTGGGCGGAGGGATATGATCACGAAGTCATTTGTTATTTGCGTGCGGTGACTTATTTCTTTCATACATATATATTTGTGGGATCGTTGCAAATTGGGTCATGCTCCTCCCGTCCGGGTCTGGGGGCCGGGAAGGGGGAAAGAGGAAGGGAGGATGGGAGGGGAGATATGAACAACGGAGTAACTTGTCTGGGTTTCCCGTCGCAGAGACGACGACGGTAGTCTACACTATACCTCAGTCAGCAGTGCAGTGTGAGTGAGTCACAGTCATGTCATGTCTCAGGGAGGAAGGGATTCTGTATCGGGCAAATTCTATTGTTTGGCAGTGTCTGTTGTCTTCTGCTTGTACAATATACCCATATTTCTTGGCGGAGGCTTCCATCCGCAGCTGAAAAAATCAAAATGTGTTAATCGGGCTCTTGATCATATTATGCTGATGGGGCGTCTACGAGTGCAACGCGACACTTGAAACTGTCTTCATTCATTCATCAATTATCATCATTGTTTGCTTTTGGAGCTATCTGACGTGGCTGAGGGCTGCCGGCCGCGGGTCTTCTCCCATATGGGATTGCCATCCTCGTCAAACTCAGCCCACTGGAAGAATGTGCAACCGTCCTTCCCTGGGACGTTTCCGGCGTGGCACATCCAGAAATATCGCCCGTAGTTCTCCTTCTTCCTCTGGACGACGCGCAGCACGGTGGGGATGCCGCATTTGCACTTCGGCGTGTGCCGGGGGTGCAGGTTCGCCCTGTAGTCGCGGTACGTGACGTTGATGCGCTTGCTCCCGGCGACGGGGTGCGGGTCGATGGCCTGCGCGGGCGCGATGCTGTGCTTCCACTCCTCCTGCATCTCGGCGTGCATGACGAGCAGCGAGTTGTGCGGCAGGTGGATCGAGATCTGGCCCTCCGCGTCCGGGTCCTCGACGGGCCTCTTGTCGTCGTCCTTTGGCACGATGCGCCGCACCCGGAACTCGCGCGCCACGCCGAGAGACAGGGACCCGATGACGGCGCGCGGGCCGAGGTACGTGAGCTGGTCGCTGTGCCAGCCCACGTTCTCCTGCGGGCCGCTGTAGCAGTTGACGAAGGCGGCGTTCGGCACCCAGGGCTCGGGCGATTGGTGCTTGAGCTTCTTGCCGCCGGGGTAGCGGCTGTGGATGCGCTCTTGGATCTCGCGGTTGACGGCGGCCTGGACAAGAGGCTTGACGCGGTCAAGCTGCGGCGTCAGCTGGCGCACGTCGGTCAGGCGGGCTCCATTGTACAAATACTCGTACTTTTGGCGCTGCTGCTCGTCGGCGGAGGCGACGTAGAAGCTCGACGTATGTGGGCTGTGCACGACGTTGTCGAACAGCTTGAAGGTGATCTTCTCGTACGACTTGGACTCCTCGAGCAGCTCGCGCAGGAGGTCGTCGGCGAGCGCGGGCGGCAGGAAGTTGTGGATGACGGAGCAGGGCGTGTGCTCTGCGATGTCTACGGGGTCGTACAGCCGGAGCGTCGCCCCCTTTCGGGACAGCACCTTGGCCTTCTTGGGCGAGGGAGACCTCCTCTCGCTTTCTGGCCCCGTAGTGAAGAGTCTTAGAGACGACTGCGCCCCGACAACCGCGGTGGTCTTCCTTGATGTTTTTGAGGGACTGGGAGCGAGCAGCGCTGCCGAAGCAGCAGAGATGGATCCTTCGTGAGCCAGAAGGACGTCGAGAAGCGCCTCTTGGCCGACTTCTGGGTGAAGAGAGGACAGGATGGCTAGCTTGACATCCGTTGGCTCATTCTCATATTCTGCGAAGGAGCTATCCGGTGGCGGAGTGGAAGGTCGCCTCTTCCTGGTGATGAAAGCATCCATGGCTCGTTGCAAGATTATCATAACCTGGATTTCGTACTGACGGGGTAGGTACTCCCAAGACTGTGAATCCGAGACTGTCCGGCAGCCGTGTTGTGAAGGGGGCTATTCCCTTCACGGACGGCGTATTAGATGTAACAAGCCGAGCACTTTGAGTAGATAGAAGTGAAATGCCGGCAATAGCCCTGCTAACCAGCGCTTCTCAATTGTCGCGATGCGGTGAGTTTGCCATGCAGCTGAGCGCGGTCCATGATCCTCCACGGCGCCTAATGACACAAGAAAAATTGGTGTTACTGATGACACTACGACTAAGAAAAATGTTGCAGGAAAGGCGTAAAACAGAAGCAGTGTGTAGAGGGGGGATACGTGGAATAGGTCGTCACGCGCTAACTCGCGCTGTCACATGGGGATAAGATAAGGGTGAAGAGGCTAGATATAGAGGGGTAGCAATAGCGCATTCCCCCGCGCTGGGAAGCTCTTACACTGTCAGTAGCGCCTCCAACAGCCGAGGCCCGGTCCGTCATCTGCTCTGACAGACACCGAGCGCACTTGACCTGGACATGCATGCGCCTTAAGTGTCGTTTTCGGTTCTACTTCCCACGACAGCAGAGACAACTCTGTTGCTTCGCCATCGAAGATGGCTTCAATGCTCGAGTTTCGCACCGCCGGCTACAATCCGTATGCGGTCAAGTACTCGCCGTACTACGACTCTCGAGTGGCCGTCGCATCCTCGGCAAACTTTGGCATTGTGGGCAATGGAAGAGTGTTTGCGCTGGGCCTCACGCCTGCCGGCATACAAGTAGAGAAGACGTATGTTACTACGCATTGTGTGGAGTTATGCACTCCAGATTGCTGACTTGCGCATTGGCTCACAGCTTCGACACAAACGATGCCCTGTATGATCTAGCATGGTCCGAGATCAACGAGAACCAGCTCATTGTAGCCTGCGGCGATGGATCAATCAAGCTCTTCGACCTTGGTGTCGACAAGTTCCCTGTTATGAATTATCATGAACATAAGCGAGAGACCTTCGCAGTCTGCTGGAACCCCATCACCAAGGACACTTTCCTCTCAAGCTCCTGGGATGGAACAGTCAAGATAGTACGTACTCGCCGGTGACTATGCTTGCCGTACCTTAGCTTACCAAGTCTTCTTGAAGTGGTCACCGACTCGAACAGAGTCCCTGAAGACACTCCCAATAGGGAGCTGTACCTACAGCACATCCTTCTCCCCTTCAAACCCATCCATAGTATCAGCAGTGTCCAGCGACTCCCGCCTGCGCATCTTCGACCTGCGCACACCAGTCTCAGCTAAATACCACCTCGTCTCCGACATACCAGTCCATCAAATACCTCAGAACAGAGTGCGGCTCGCAAACGGGCAGGCGGTCATGCCCGCGCAGCCCTCTGAGATACTCACGCACGATTGGAACAAATACAATGACACAATTATTGCCACAGCAGGTGTGGACAGAAACATCCGCACCTTTGATATAAGAAACCCGTACGGCGGTCCCGTCTCTCTCATGCAAGGTCATGAATATGCCGTTCGGCGATTGGCGTGGAGCCCACATGCCAGCGACATCCTGATCAGCGCCAGCTACGATATGACCGTACGGCTATGGACAGACGGGTCAACGATGGGCCACAACGCTGCGCCGCCTGGGCAACCGATGCCGCCTCTAGGGCCTAATGACCCTGTTCGCCCTGGAATTGAGTTGGGTCTCATGAACCGGCACACCGAGTTCGCTACCGGCGTTGACTGGTGCCTCTTTGGTGCAGGTGGTTGGGTAGCAACTGTGGGCTGGGATGAGCGTGTGCTGTTATGGGATGCCAACTCATTACTTCAGAGATAGGTAAGAGCAAAGGACTAATGAATGAAGTGAAGAAGGGAAAATTGGGAGGTCATGATACCCAGGTCTGCGTGGGAACGGCAGACTTGAAAGAAGCGATGGAATGTTTCTTGGAAACCGGAGAACTTAAATATGCATTAGATCGGCGCTTGGCGAGAATTGACTTGAACTGTGATAATTTAACGTCGTTGATTTGATTGTGGTGACAAGTATGCTCTTAAAACCCGTGAGGATGTTAGCATATATACAGTCTCTAAGATTCCGTTTTGCCCAGAATGTTGCATGCATTGTTTGACCTTTCAGACCCATTTTTGTACTTTTTAATCATAGTCACGAACACCCATAATATACAATCTTGCTCTGCTCAGCTCTGTAGTTGCACAGGCCGCCTCATTGGGATGGTGATCCCCTCGCCTTGACGTCCCAATTTACGGCCTCTTTTGCTTGTCGAAGAGCTTAGCGAACGGCAGGAATACAGTGGCGAGTGCTACGCATATGGATGTGCTGATGAGCTGCCACATTGTCCACAGACTATCGCCGACGCCGAAAGGCACCACGAACTTGATGAATTCGTTGACCTGGTACATGTCTTCCTGCTGCGAGATCAGATAGCGGATCCCGGAGTCGCCACGCTGAACCACAGGCCCTGATCCAGTCTCGGACTTCGAGGGAGCGGTACTGCCCTTGTTTGGAATTTTGTCCTCGTCTGTGGTGTTGTACTTGACCACATCCGCGAACGAGACCTCACCCGCCTGGGAGGTGTTGTTGTCATCTTCACCGTTCTTGACAGCGCTGGAATCATCAGTAATGGTGCAGGGAACCAGGCTGCCGTTAGCGCCGGTGGTGTGGGGAGCGAGACTGAGGACGACTACGAGCTTGACATCGGCCTTGTAGAATGGGATGAACCATATCCTGAAAATCTGGCTGGCTTGCACGTAGAGCTGATTGGTCTTCTCGTCCAGCACTGCGCTCATGTCAGATGCAGTCAGGTTAGAGATGAACAGCAAAAGAGGAGGTACCCGTAGAGTATATTTTCATCTCGATCTCTGGGCTCAACATGCGATACCAGCGGTAGATGCTGAGCAATAGAAACCGCGAGTTGAGCCAGCTAAAGAATGGGATATCGCCATTGTTGAAGTGCGGTACGCGGCAAAAGGGATGCACAAAGGAGGCGTCGGTGGTGTAGTTCTCTCGTAACGCCTTCTCCTGCTCCTCACGCGTGCCGGTGCACAGCGCCTCAACAACTGGTCGGATTTGGCGAACTAGAGAGAGATGTTAAATATAGTACGATAAGGGTAATTGCCTCTGCGCATCTGACCTACTTGGATTGTCCATTGCTCGGTGATGTTTATGAATGATTGACTTAACTTGGTAATCTTGCCCTTATTTTAGTGTTATGTGTTGAATATACTTTTAATGGGAAGTAGTCATTTAGAAATCCAGTTGCTCTACCTTGTCCGTGAGCCTTAATCATTTCCCTGGTGATTGACAGCTGTGACGTCATTATTAGGTGTTGCTGAGAATCGTTAAATCCACTGAAATGGCCCGTGATGTCAATGCGGCGACCTGCCATCATATGTGCTACTAAAGACCCAGGTAGTATCTAGATGCTTCGAGTACAGACAGTACCTAGGTCGAGAGCTCGATTAGTTCCTTAAAACCCATCTTGAGCAACATCTTCAACAAAGATTAATTGGTTGTATGTCAGTTGCAGCATGGTGAAAAGGCGTATCTTTTAACATCATTGAGTGGAGGTATTCAGGGTCAGTTATGCATGGCAACTCAACACATCTGATGCATTATCATACCGTTGAGCAAAAAAATATACCCCAGACTATCTACAGTACCTAGGTATTGGGTAGAGAATTGGTTAGCGGCAACCTCGAGGCTTTGCAGTTCGCAAGCTCCTAGGTAAGCTTCATGACCGAGCGGCATGATAACATCAGGACACTGTCCGCACAGTGTCATTCATTAAGGCCCGTCATGATTAAGGCCCAAGCAAACACACATGTCAATGATTTTGTCGTGTGTTAGTGATAGGAAGAGAGAACAAGACGCCGTGATTTGGGCTGTGCTAAGAGTGAGAACAACAATCATCCGTCATATTGGAAATGGATAGCGTCGCAGCACCACTTGGAAGCAACCTATTCGCCACTTCCCAAAGCTATTATTACAAGCGAAACCAATCCTCGAGACGATTGAGAACAGTCCTCAGGACAGTTTTGACAAATCACTTGAGGAAATTTTGAATTGGCTCCTTCACAAAGATGTTAGTTGCAACACGACTTTCTATACAAACCGAAGTACGGTGTAAGGTGTGTATTCTAAACTCTCAAGTTCGGCAACCGGACCCATCGTGCATCCATGGATGCACGTTCGCCTTATTTTACATTGATGTTTGAATCAAGAATTTCAGTGATCCCATTGGCTCTAAAATAGAAAGCTCAGTGCCGGTACAGTGTAATCGAACGTTGGCCTTTCAATGCTATTGGCCTGACGCATGGATCCGATGTCAATCTGAAAACAGCCGCATTTGGAGTCCTCCTCGATGTATAAGTAGGTTATTCCTCTCCAGAATTCTCTTTCCATCATGAATACAATTCACCTTACGCAAGCTCTAGGAAATCTTTTTCTCACGTTTTGATCAAAAGGCTATTATTCATTTCAAATAAGAGGAATCAAGTGAGCGATAGCATTAAGGCTTGAAAGTAGTTCAAGGCCTCGTACAGCCCTTCATGCCATATCGCTACAAATTATCAACGGTACGCTGTTCCTTCGCACCATTCCTTTGATCTTGACTTAGCAATCGTCTCCTTTCTTTGTTTCCTTCTCTAGGCATGGTAAATTGCGATTTTAGTGCCCTCATGTTTTAAAGTCTTTCACCTGTAATGCTAATTCTGTAATACAGTGCTCCTCGATCTCTTGAGCCATTGCGACTTATTGCTATAGGTGTCCTCGGACTCATGCCGTTCCATTCTGTCCTCGAGAGTCTTGCTTTCTTCAAGTCCTACCAGAAACAGTTCGCTTTGCCCAAGACTCTCGGTTACGTCCTCATGGGATTGATTACAAATCGTGAGGTTTCATCGTGCCCAGAGGCCTCAACAATAATGGAGCTGTGCCTCCCAGCATCCATGGACTTCAATCAAAGAAAAGTCGAAAAGTCTGTTGTTTCATCTGGGAGTGATACCAATATTACTGCCGCCAGCGCTTCGCCCAACAGCTTTTCGAGAGCGCAACCGATTGGAGTCTCTTCCGACACCCCTTACCACACCCGAGAACATGATAATGTGATTGGACCCACCGACAACGTCCACTCGGTGAAAGTGGACATGCTCAAGCCGAGTTTGAACCAGAACCTTAGTCATGTTCACTCTAAGGAAGTATTGCATGGTGATGGAAAGGGGCTTTTCGAGGGAGGCCTGATTGAAAAGGAGTCGTACCACGGCACCGCCGCCATAGCCGCGATCAGTCATTCAGATGAACCAACAGTGATCGTCCACGAGGAGTACGTTCTATACGAGGATAATGTCAAACGCAAATCTCATGCCAGCGTGAATGGTATCGTGTCCACAATTGCTCAAGCTGATCGAATTACACGTTCTGATCCAGAAGGCACGTCAAAATTACGGTATCATCCCGCGACCGGCCGTGAACGTATGTGCGGCACAGAGAAGATGGCCTGCCCCAGGGCACATAATATGATGCGCATCCATGTTGGGCATGGAGGCAAGTTATACCGTTATAAAGCCCACTTCCCCATTCCATGGACTTTGAACGAGAAAAGCTTCCTTGACCATGGCCATGATATGAACGATGTCATGTACGTGAAGGAGTGCCTACAAACTGCCCTGGCGGCAGTAAACAGCATGGACATTGGCATCACGTTCACCTATGTTAGTCCTGACGAGAACAAGCGAGCTATCTTCACTCTGTCCTATCAATACTGCCATCTAGACGAATTTTTCACCTGTCAATTTACGACCTTTGCCCAAGCGTTTCTCCTGGTCAACAAATGACCGATGCCTACTTGTATGAGTTAGCGTTTGCTCCCGCATATCGGCACAGTATCACCAATATCCTCTGCCACGAGATAGCTCATACTCTCGGCATGCGTCACTGGAACGCAGAGTTGATGGAGGCTCATGAGAAGTCAGTCCAATTCCCTTCCAACTCAGACAACAACCGGTCGGTGATGGGGCGGTGGAATGACCCAGCGGAGATTCACTTTTGGGAAGAGGATAAGATATACCTCAAGATGTTCTATTCTAAGAACGAGGGAGAGACAATCGGGGGTTATGAAATCGAGGACATCATCCTTACCCTTTAGTCGCCGGTGGTGGCTACTCTGATAATTTGATAACAGTCGATATTGCTTCTCAGAGATCATGATGCGAGGTTGTACAGATGAATCTTCTGGGCAATGGGGAAAATCAACGAGGAAATGACGTTACCTTTGAGATGAGACATGCATTAGATGGGAAAAGGGAGATATGGAGTCGGCTTGGCTCGTGGACATTGGATCAGCTTTCTTTATCATGCTGGAAAAAGGGGTCTCGGATACTTTCATAGAACGCATTTCATATTACTCTCCATGAATTGGACATTTGCCTCGATGATATGTAGCATTGAAGTCAACTATGTGAAAAGCTCGCTAAGATGATCCTTAGCGTACTGGCCGAGTAAGTTATCGATACAGCAAACAAGCCATCCCATCCACCCATCCAGCCATGATATACACCATCCCTATATGCCTATCTCCCTTCTAGACGCTCGAGACACTCAGCCCAGCAACCCAATATTATGCATGAGCCGAAAAATGTTTGAAATAGAAAGAACACCGTTCTTCAATCCGTCATGTCGATAGTTCCATTCCCACAGACCGAAAGCGGAAACGCCCGTAGCACACGCTCGCGGCTGGCATGCTATATGCGTGTACCCGCTAGCTGCGGTTTGACTTTGACACGCGCCTTGCTCCCGTCCGAACAATGTTTCATCTGCACTTATGATCCCCACAATGACCTGCTTGTGCATGTGGTGTCCCATGCCATCATTTACAGTGTGCTGCATTCCTCGTCAAGCACCATTCGTACCCGCATCTCGCTCCACTATCCCCCGCATCGCATTACGTCCCATCTTATCAAATCTGAAGTAGAGATCACCTGCCGTGCCTACTCGACCCCCGGATGTCTCTCATCGGCGCATCGCCTCCCGCGAACCGATCCGGATCTATATCTCTGTAGCCGCTCTCCCGCCGCGAACTCGAGTGCCGCCTGTGGCCCTTGCTGCGGTGCCGTCTGGGCGGATCATGCTCCTCGATCACGACAACCTCGTCGTCGTCACTGTGCACGACCCTCGGCGGCGGCGGCGCGGGCGGCGCCCTGCTGGTCGAGCGGCGCACCTCCTCGACGACGACGCGGTCGCGCGACGCCTCCTCCACGATGACGGCGGGCCCGCGCGAGGAGCGCCTGATCTCGACCGTCTCGCGGCCGCCGGACGCGCGGTGGTGGTGGTGCCGGTGCGACTTACGGCTGCGGCGCGTCACCACGCTGGCGGTGCCGATGTCCGAGGCGGCGTCCGGGGGCACGCCGAAGTTCATGCACGTGTAGAAGAGCCACAGCAGCAGCAGGAAGCCGCCGACGGAGCCCAGCACGATGCCGACGACGGTGCCCGGGTCGGGCCCGCTGTTGAGGTTGTGGTACTGGCCCGGGACAGTCTCCGTCGTCGTGTCCCGGCGGGCGGCCATGACGCGCGACGGGATGTCGAGGATCGTGCGGGTCGGGAGCCGGCTCGAGAGCGAGTTCGATAGCGCGGCGAGCCTTTCTGCGATGGCGGCGACGTGGGTGCCCGGTTGCGACTGCGGTGGTGCGTCGCGGCGATGGAGCTGGTCGAGGATGGCTGCGGGGAGGAGGCCGCGAGGCAGCGGCAATGCCGGAGCCATCGCGAATGTATATCGCGCTGGGAGATCAGACCGAGTTATATGATATTTTGAATCTGACCACGTATGTTCGTATCTGCCGTTTATATGATGCACTGCATGTGTTGTCGCTGGCGCAGCCTCGAAGCGCTTCGTAGATCGATGTGTTCTGGGTGTTGACGCCGTCACAAGCTTGATTTGGGTGCCTTGCTTGGTTTGCGCGGGAGCCGTGGCGGGCGCGGTTACGGAACGGTGCGCTGTTAGTGCAGAGCGCAGAGCGCGCCGATAAGACTGATAGGGAAGCCCTGCGGCTTGAATCAAGTATCTTGGACCGATAGTTTCGAGACAAGATTCGTGAATATGAGGCCCAATCAATATGATGAAGAGGAATAGCGAGCGACGAATGACCTCGAGGGGGTGGTCTAGGAAAGGGAACGGAGGATGATGCAGGCTGCCTGCGGGTGGGCAAAGAAGAGGCGCCGGCTCTGCAGCAAGAGCAGCAGTGGGAAGAGAGGGCCTTACGGGACGCCGGGTGGGATGGGAACGACGACGCCCCACTAACGTTAACGTGGTTGTCGCTAGAAACAGGAACATACACAACCCTGGCAGCGAGATTCTGCATCTGCACAGGCGGGGATCCCTGTCCACAGCCCACATCCCTGCTTCTGCCCGTTGACTCGGCAGCGCATCTTGTTAGCTCGGCATTCGCGTCATCATCAGTATCATCGTCGCAAACATGGCCCAAAGACGTCGTCTGGAGGTGATCGTGTGCTGGTTCCTCACGAGTACAGAGTTGTGTACACCATCCGAAGTCTGTTACGGTCAGTGTCCAGGAACTATAAAATGCATTGGTGACAACGCTCTTTCTGATGATTACCGAAATTGCAGAGATACAGGGGTATCTATATTGGATCTGATTGCAAACAATGCCTTAAGCCCAAGACCGGGTTTTCCTTCTGTCGTTATTCATACAAAGCCTCTTATACGTTGAATACCCGAGGATTTCTTATCCTTCTTGTCGGGCTCTTCCTTTTTCTTATCCTTGCGTTCTTTTCGAACTGTGTTCTGAACACCGCCTGCATCACATGTCAGTCAGTCAAAAATATCGAAAATCAGTGAACGTGTCAACGTACCTCTTCCGTAGTATCTTTCACTCGAAGGACTAGTCTTGCCAGCTGCAGATGCCTCACCAAGCCCAGTATCGGTTGGTGTTGCCGGGCGATGCACCACTGTCCCCACTGACGTGCCTGTATTGACGCTGTCAAATGGCGGCGTGGCGTGATGCGATGTCCCCAACGGCGGCTCGGCATCAGAGAAGCCTCTGTGAGACCTGGTGCGGACCGGGCTGATCGGACTACCTATTATGGCCGATACCTCTGCGTCCGGGTCGGATGATGGGAGACCTTGCGTCCTCAGACGCCCCGGGTGGACATTTGAATTGGCAGTCATGTCCAGAAGGGACGACTGCAGCACCGTATACTTCCTCATTAGGAGGCTGTACTGCTTCTGCAGCTCGGACTGCTTCGCTCGGCTGTCAGCCAGCACCTTCTCGATCATCGTGCTGGTGTCAATGTTCCGGCTGGCCCGGCTATTCTTCAAAGCTTCTTGGAGCTTCGTGTTGAGGACCACAATCTGTGATTGAAAGAGCTCCTTTGTCTGCTGGAGCTCGGATTCGCGAGCCGTTAATTGCATTTGCAGCAACTCTGCCCGGCTAGACGACTCATTTGCTTCTACCACGGCGAGCTCCATCTGCTTCTCTTTTGCCTGGTAAGTCCGCTCGGACACTGTGAGCCGCGTCACCTCCGCCTTCAGCCTCTCATGCTCTGCTACGTTCTGGTCGACGACCTGGACACTCTGCTTGGCGTTCAATTCCTTGGTCTCGAATTCACACACAATCTTCGTGAGCCTCTCTGCCTCATCCTTCTTCGCTTCTAGCTCGCGCTTGAGGGCTGCTCCTTCAGTAGTCCATTTCTTTTGCTCCTCACGCAGCGTCTTGAGCTTCGCGGAAAGATCCTTCTCCCAATTCTTTGCGAGAGTCCGCCGGTTCTCAGACTCCTTTTTGGCTTGCATCTCGGCCTTTTTGGCGTCTTCAAGCCGGTGCTTCAGATTCCGGTTAGCCATGATGAGGTTCTGAGTTTCCGCCTCTGTTGCGGCTTCTCGGACCTGACGCCTGCGGAGCTCGCCGATATGGATCATGTGCTGTTGCTTCATGTACCGCTCGAAGGTGAGATCGTTGTTAAGAAGGAGGATCTGTTTGTAGAGCTGCGACAATTGCCCGCTGTATTCTGCTGGGGAGGTCGGCCCGTCGGAAGGTTGCGCTGGGGCAGAAAGCCGAGTCCCAGAACTCTTCTCGGGGATGGATTCCTGGTGACTAAGTGCCAAAGATGGAACGCTGTCATTAGCTAGCGACTGGTGGAAACCAGACTTGATCACCTTATTGGAATTGATCATATCCTGTAGCTGGGTATGAGATGGCGATAAAACCAAATGAGGTGGCAGCGTTGGACTATCGCCTCCTGCATCACGGGCACGGGTCTCGAGGGAGTCACGAGCGGACGGATCATGACTCGATTGGGAGCTTCGCCTGGGTACCGCCGAGTTGGCTCGACTATCTGCTGATGATGCGACTGCTGTCGATTGTGTGTGCCGCCAGCTGCCTAATGCATGCTCATGCGAGAGTGTGGTCTCCAAAATGGCAGATCCACTCAGTAGCGCTTGATCCGGACCGTCTCTCTCGCCTTCTTTGAGTAGATGTGGACTGTTAGCGCCCTGTAGCTGTGCTGTATCCAGGTCATGGCTGTGTCCGGTATCACTTGTCAGACACAGTGCCATGCATGAGGCGACGACCTCGGCCGCTTCACTCTTGATCCATCGACTGAAGTCCGTCTTTTCAGACTCCACAGTCAGACTGTAAAAGTTAGGATGTAGTGTATGGCATTGTCTGAACCGTTCCGACCTGTGACGTATCTCTGAAGGTTGAACCTCAATATCGTCAGCATTCGGCGCATTAGCGTGGCGTAAATAGCGCTCCGGCTTTCGAATGTAGTCAACAAAGTTGAGAGGATACAGGCCATAAAGTATAGTGAAGTAGTCTTGAAGGTGTGGGATTACGAGTCCATCAATGTCACGGGAGTAGGTACACTTTTCCCACGTGGGTGTTCCGCTCATATTGTGGTCGGAATCCACAGCATGACCTTCGATCTCGAATGTTCTCTCTCTGTCCCAGAAGAGAAGCCGCGCATAGATGTTGAACAATGTAGGCAGGAATTTGACAAGCGAGCTGGGCATGTTCGGAAGCAGCATGATTAGCGCGGTTAGAGCGAGGCTGACCACAGTAGTTGATGTGTCCAGTTGCAAACACCGCAATATGTTATCAAAGAGGGATGTCTGTTGTACCATATGCAGATGCGGTGGCTGGCTCTGAATAAACTCGCATAGCAGTGTCAGAGAACGGCTGCGATATTCCCGTTTGACCAGGAAAACATCCAGCGCAGCCATAAAGGTCTTCGACAAAAATGAGCACAAGTACACTCGTCAACACAGGTTGTCTTTCTTACCTTGGGCCTCTTCTTGGCAAATTGTAGCACCGTTTCCCGGAGAAGCTTCTCCTTGAAGCCCTGCGCGGATTTGCCCTCAGGTTGGGTGATCTGGTATAAGTGCATCCATTTTCCTAGCAGTCGATTGGCCAGCTGCAGGGACCCCGAGTCAGGCGTGACATTATCCTGATTTGCGTCGTCGGCGGTGAGGATATCAATTGTGCTGGCAATTGCCTCGCTTGCAAGGCCTTTCTCATGACCGAGATGATCAAGCACTGGCTCAACCAGCTTGTCCCACCACTGAATGAAGCGCTCCGATGTCTTGACCGCAGGCCGTAGCTGTCGTAGGATAGCGAGAAAAGGGGCATATCTGGCGGGATGGTCCTGGACGCTCTTGTGATAAATCAACATGAGCTCCTCATGTAGACGATCTGCTGCCGCATCGTCGTACTTTTCATGTTTCTCGAGGTAGCCTTCGATCACCTGGGCAAGCTCATCGGGCAATGGCAGGGTTGGAGTCGGAAGGAACGCATTGATAGCCTTTGATAGGTCTTTGGTGGACCTGCAGAGGAGTCCTAGGTCAGACTGGGCACTGGATACATCCCAAGGAAGGCATTTGTACTTACGCTGATGAAGCCATCGTAGAGACTGGTCTACCGCAAAGCTTCTTCTCAGACACCCACGACAAGGTGTGACGACATTTGACTCTTGCTAGAGCAGTGTCTAATGCAAGATGCAAGGACTGTCCAACAAGCCCGCCCCTAAACCTGAAACAGGGCAGTCGTGTCGACTCGGAGCTCTTTGTCGGTAACGCTGCAGCTCGTTGGTGGCCGGTTACTGAAACTCGACAATGGAGAGTGGATTGGATGTCTCTCGATACCTACTTTGACGGTTTAAGCTCCGTATGGGGCCGGCGAAGCGATGGACTCAATGTGGCCGGTGGTGCTGCACGCAAGCAGCGCACTAAAACCTACGGCTGCTCGTGACCTAATCACGACCCTCAGCGCTAACTCTGTTCGTCAAGCTCTGCCAGCTGCCCTGTGCTTTCTGCCCTGCGGCACGCCGTAATGCCCTGCCCTTTACCCCGCGTTCTGCAGGCCCGCTATTTTACAAGGCCCCACGGTGGGGCCTGTAGGTTTGGTGTGGTGCCATTTGGTGCTGGAATCGGGACGCTGATCGCCGCGAAACTGGCGTGCCAATGGCCTGACCAGTCAGAGCTGCTGGCCTCACGGGATCTGCTGGCCAGTCCAAGGTCGAGCTTGATTGCTCCAATGATTGAGAGGAAGAGAGGCAGGAAAAGGAGGGTTCCATGAGGGATGAGGGCAAAAGGGCGGCGGGGACTGGACTTATGACACATTCACAAAACCAGCTGCAAGCTAACAGCTTCCTCCATCCATCCTTTTCTTCCTCTTCATTCATCTCAACATCAGCCTCAAACTCCAACCTTCCACTACTACTGCCCCTCCTCCTCTTCTGTACAAAGACACCTGAGACAGACTTGTTGTTGTCCTCGGGATTTGTGTCATCACCACCATCACATCCACCACCCCACACATCGTCACACCATCCCCAAGCATTCAATTGCCCAAGATGGCCAGTAAGTCGTCCGCAGTGGCTGACCAGGAGCCCATCGAGGTCCTCGTCGCACTGCATGACAAGTTCGAGCTTCTGGACTTTGCCGGTCCAGTCGAGACCCTCACTCATGCTCTCCATGATATCAAAGACTCAGGTACGATGCATTGGCTGTTCCAGCTTAACCTTCCTTACAAGATGCTTGGAGTTCAAGCTTGTGCTGACCTCTCTTTGTTAATGCAGCGTCTGTTGCTTTCGACATTACCATCGCAGCTGCCGAGCCAAAGGTCATGTCCACCCAGGGCGTCATCATTGGCTCCCAGTGCTCCTTCAAGGAGGCCTACGACCGCCTCAATGACTTTGATGTCCTCATTGTTGTCGGTGGTGGCAGCGAGGAGGTCCTGAAGAACAAGGCTGAGCCCCTCGGCCTCATCTCTGCCTACTCTGAGCTCCAGAAGAACGATCCCACTCGCGAGCGAACCCTCCTGTCAGTCTGCACTGGCTCCCTTTTCCTCGCCCAGGCCGGCATCCTCTCCGGTCTCTCCGCCACTACACATCCCGACTACCTCACCAAGTTTGAGATCCTCTGCAGCCAGGCCGCCACCCAGAACCTGGCCGAGCGTACAGACGTTGTCGAGGACGCCCGATACGTCGTCAACAACCTCCGCTTCGACATCGGAGACGAGGACGAGAACCCCTACATCCGTCGCAAGTCCGAGGCTCGACGGCCCTCCAATGCCCGGTACGTGTCCACTGCATTACATTTCAATTAGATCTAAGGCTAACTGTTTTCTACAGAAAAGGCAGCATGTCCTTCAAGGGCTCCAACAACCGCCGCGAGTCAATTGCTCGTCGCGCGGCGATGCGCCTTGGTGGCCTGCGTGTCATCACGGCGGGGGGAGTTAGCGCTGGCATAGATGCAACTTTGTATCTGGTCAGCGCTATGGTCTCCGATGAGGCGGCGGAGGAGGCGGCGCGTGTGATGCAGTGGACCTGGACCAAGGGCCTTGTCGTCGACGGCCTGGATGTCTAAGCCATATTTAAAAATGGCTTTCACTCGGATAGAATGGGTCATAGACTTGTTATAGATCCGTAGTTGACTTGTTTATTCAAACAAGTAAAATGAATTCAGAGCATTTATCAAGTAAAATAGCTGATCTACCAAGGTGAAGCATCAAAATGCTGACTCATCATGTGGCTGGTGATGTGGCTTGCGTGCCGAAAACCCAGCCCATTGGACCCCGGATCAGATTTCGCGAACATCAAACCTCGAGATCTTAAGAAGCGCAGCATTTGCCCACGTTGCGAAGCTGCAACTAATTTTTCACATACCAATGGCAGCCGCTACAGCGAGTACGGCAACACGCCAGCTGCCGTTCCGTGTCGGTGGGAAGAAAATCTTCCTGTAAGCTCCCCTTTCCTTCTGCAGACCCCTTCATCTGCCTTCAACAGACAGCTGTAACTGATAATGAGCAGGCCGAACCACGTCGTCGCATTCGTCCGACCCAAGCCCCGACAGCCCCCCAACTTCGCCACGTTCATAGTGCCGCTACAGTTCAACAAGCTTGATTTCAGAGACTACCTATACCACGTGTACAACGTCGAGGTGAACGCCGTGCGCTCCTTCATCAATGAGCAGGCACCGCAGAGGCGGCACAACGGCGAGGGCCGCTGGTACCGCCCGCGCTCACAGAAGATGATGATGGTCGAGCTGGTCAAGCCGTTTGTCTGGCCCGACGTGCCCAGCGACCTCAGCCCCTGGGACAAGTCGTTCTTCGACGCGGAGAAGACGGTGCGCGAGCAAGAGTGGGACGAGAGGACGAGGTGGACAGAGGGCCATCCGCGGTCATCGTATGAGCTGCAGAAGATGGGCCGCCACACTCAGCCGAAGGAGCTCTATCAACAGGCGCAGGAGCTGCTCGAGGGCAAGCGGAAGTGGGCGAGCTCGGCTACGTTAGATGAGAAATGGATCGAGGTGGAGCAGGATGTCGATGTTGTCAAGGAGAGCAAGTCGCAGGAAGGTGTCGACGCATCATCAGAGACTAAGTCGCAATAGCGGCTGCTGTAACATTACGATTATATGGATGGGTTGTAAAATAGTCAAAACTGCCACTGCGATAATACAACATAGAGAGAGAGGACTGTGTCTGGCATGGACAGCCTCTTCAGCTATATACTTGATGCATCTTCAGGTCCGCAGTCGACCCAATGTTTACGTCTCTGGAACTTAAGCACTTCGTCTCCCCAACTCCACCATCCGGCAGTCAGATTTCGAGCAAAGACTTCCAGAGCTTTGCACTTCGGTGGCAGTATCTCCTCAAACAATGGACGTAGGTTTGGTTTTCTTGAATGGACGTCGGGCACAGAGATTATTACTTTGCCTTTTCCAATCCACTTTCTGTCATGCCCAGCTCTGCCAGCAATCAAGATACGTTCCCATGGTTTCCTCCACTGTGAGTCAATTGCACAGATCGGCTCACCAGATGTAGTTACCTTCAACCAGGTCCACTCATCCACCAACTTTAGCCCCCAGTCAGCAAAAAGGCCGTGAGATGATGTGAGTAGTTCTAGTATGGCCGGCTTGTTGGTCACCCACACCGCAACAAGACCGTTTGAAGCCAGATGTGCGGCGACAGGGATGCTTGACAAAATATCCCGTATGCCATCCAAGTTCTCTGCGATAGAGTAGCTCCCTTTCTTTCTCCGAACCGAGCGATTTGGCCACGGTGGGTCGAGAACGATGAGATCAAATATGGGAGCTTGTGCCAAGAATGCCTCTCGTTGGGACTCAATGCTCCCCAGCAGGTGAGTTGAGCCCTCCGGCATCAAGAAGTCATCATTAGATAACGACGCAGCCGGGTGGTGATCTTCTATAGCGTCTAGCTTTCGTTTCTTCGGTTGCGACAACTCACCGGCCGCCGCGGGTTGCTTATGGATGCGAGGTAGACACCATGGGCCTGGATAGAATTGCCTCACATCTTCAAGAGCATGGCTCACGGCTGCTGCTGTCATCAACTCGGTCACTTGAGCCGAAGGATGAAGCAAAGGAGCGGCAACTTTAGGCTCAGGAGTCTGGAATGGAGTTTCCACGGGCTTCGTCGAGATAAGTCTCTTTCGGAGAGTAATATCCGAGTCGAGCTTGTCTGAAAGCACTTGAGCTTCTTCGATAGCCCTGGGCAGGTCGAGCAAGACGACGTTCCTGTCCTTATTTTGGAACAGGATGGACGAGTAGACCATCTCTGGGTCGCCGCAAGGCGTGCAAGACAAGTCCCAAGCCCTATACCGGAGATATCTTTCGTATTGGAGGCCAGAATCGTAGAGGTCGGCGCGGTTCGTGAGCTCGGCAATTCTCGGCTCGGGGAGGTGGGAGAGGTGGAGTTGTACCGCGGAGAGGGCCAGGTGCAGTGCAATTTACAGTGCTCGAGAGCCCCTACCGCAGTAAGCCGGCTGACCAAATGGCAGGCCCTGAGAAGCCCGGCCAGGTGCGGCGAAATACACTTGCAGGAGCATGACGTCCGCTTTCGCATTTGTTTCCCGCATCTCCTCCTCCACGATCTTCCTTCCCCAGACTTAACTTCAACACACACGACCAACTCCCAGATCTGACCCCGCGTGACTTCACGTTGCGAGGCCTCGTCGAAAGGTCTCTTTAGAGTGTCTAACTCCAACCCGTTCCCTTATCACGTCAGATACCGGAATGTTTCCCCGGTAGCAACTCTAGGGTCGTCTCTTGAACTCCAGTCGGCTCGGCTTCAAACGGGTCTTCCTCTCCAGGGAATGCCGCCGGCCTTCGCGGACCATGCCTCCATGCCGGGGATATCGCAACACGAATCACGACAGACCGCCGCCGGTCTCGTCGAAAGGAAGAAGGAGAATGTCGCTATCTGCCCCACCGACTCCGAGGCGGTAGTGCCCCAGAGGAAGAAGGTCGACAAGCAAAGTTTCGACTATGTGTGGCGATCGGGTGTCGCTGGCGGCTTTGCAGGTTGTGCTGTGAGTATACTCGCAATGAATAACTGAAGATACGGCGACTGACGCGTAGATATAGGCAAAGACAGTTGTAGCGCCACTCGATCGAGTCAAGATTCTATTTCAGGCGAATAATCCACAGTTCATAAAATATTCAGGATCATGGGCGGGAACGGCGAGGGCGATGATGGATATCTACGGCCATGAGGGAGCGATGGGGTTATATCGAGGACATTCGGCAACTCTTCTCAGAGTTTTCCCCTATGCGGCCATCAAATTCCTTGCGTATGAACAAATTCGGTCATTCATCATCCCGAGAAAGGAACATGAGACGCCATTTCGACGGCTCATAAGTGGCGCCCTGGCTGGCGCGACATCAGTCTTCTTCACGTATCCGCTCGAGGTCATCCGAGTGCGCCTGGCCTTCGAAACCAAGCGCGACAGTCGCTCGACTCTTGCATCGATATGCAAGCGCATATACAACGAGCAACCGCTTCCCAAGAAACCAAAGACCAAACTGCACAACGCCCCAGCGACTGTTCGCGCCATTGCAACGACAGCAGAGGCCACGGTTGACACCGCTGTGCCTCGGTCAGGCCTCACGAACTTCTACAGAGGCTTCACGCCAACGATTCTCGGCATGCTACCGTATGCGGGCATGTCTTTCCTAACACATGACACAATGGGAGATCTACTACGCCATCCGCTCGTAGCAGAATGGACGACCCTGCCGCAGCGAGAAGACGCGCCAGCGGGCAAGGCCGCGCCTCTACGATCGTGGGCGGAACTATTCGCAGGAGGAACCGCGGGTTTGATATCACAGACTTGCTCATACCCGCTGGAAGTCATAAGACGACGGATGCAGGTCGGTGGTGCCGTCGGAGATGGCCATCGGCTTCGCATAAGCGAAACCGCGGCTCTCATCATGAAAGAGCGTGGATTCCGGGGCTTCTTCGTGGGACTCACGATTGGATACGTGAAGGTGTTCCCCATGGCGGCGGCGGCTTTCTACACGTACGAGCGCTCGAAGACATGGTTTGGCATCTAGACTGGACATGACGACCACGGTCATGGGCGTTGGGGCGTATTTTTGGCATAGGAGGCATAGCATTCGCTTGTGGTAGATATTACCGGGGCACATAGGCGCAGGCCTTCCTGGATATGTATATGCGTTTTTCTTGCATGACAGCGGAGATGAAAATAGACCGAGTCTCCCTGCACTTGATATTGCTCAGCCTGGCTGTGTTTGAGTTATGATCGCGAAAAAACGGTGAGTTCAATCAAAGATAACCCCGTCGTAGTGATAGTGACAAGCGTTCTATGATATGATATCTCAAGTATTTCATCAATCGCACTCGGTTACAAAGAATCCTTTTCTGACATTTTTGAAGCTCAAGTCAATAACCAGGTGGTATCACGGCTTATGAGACAAGACGCGTTGCGGAAGTTGTTAAATATGACTATTTTCAATGGGGATATTGCTGCAAAACCTTCAACCTCGGTATGGCTTTTCAGCTTTCAATAATAACAGGAACTGTACCCCATCAGGTCTCAGCTATGGACGCGTTGATGTCACGGCTCGCATTCGCGCTGTTCAAACTCCACTTTTGGGACGATCAGTTCGAGACTAGTATCTCGATGATCGACGTTCCTTGTGCTGGAATCGTGCACATTATAGCTCCCCTTGCGTCGTGCAATTAATTGACTACTGAGCTACTTTATAACGAGCTCATGTGAAAAGACCAAAAAACTTCGTTTTAATCTAACTTCTGATTAAAGTTTGATATTATTCTTCGTCTTATAAAGACGAAAGTATATCCACAAGAACACAAATATTCGCGAATCGTGTAAAAGAAAGCTCCTTTTCTTTTGAGTCCTCGCCTGAACATGGCATCCGGTGGAACTCAAACGGTGAAGCCTCACTCGGCACCCAGTGACCACAACCAACATGTAACCGACCCAATCGCACACTTCAAAGCCATACCCTGGTGTGCGGAGCTTCTATCCAGCCCAGGCGTCATGAACGTCACAATCCCAGAGCGCAAAGTCCTGCCGTCAGGAGAGTCTAACTTCGTACGCAAGGTAATGAACAGCGGGACGACAGTGCGCGCTTGTGTGACGTTCTTCCAGCTGGTGAACAAGCGGACGTTGGCGGCTGATAAGAGGCCAATGTCCAAGTCGACGGAGCTCCTACAGGGCGGCGGCAAGGCGGATGGCGAAGAGCCGAAGAATCCTTTCATACTGATGACTGCACTGCTGGATCTCGGTGAGGACATGTGCTCGTATCCGGGCATGCTTCATGGCGGGCTATACTCTGTTCTGCTAGACGAGGTGATGGGGACTGCGGCAAACTTCCAGACTGGTAAGTAAACTACCAAAATGCACCATGTTTTGATAGAACGAGCTAATGGGATCAGCCAATGCTGCATACACTGCAGAGCTCACCACGAAGTACAAAAAGCCCGTTAGGACACCTCAAGTAGTGCTGATCAGAGGGCGAGTCATCAAAAAAGAAGGTCGCAAGCTGCAAGTCAGGGGGACCATTGAGGACAAAGACGGTATGAGTGTCCCGTTGCGATAGTAATAGATCCAGTAAATACTAATACAGCCAGGAAACATTCTAGCAGAGTGTCAGGGGGTGTGGTCAGAGTCTGGCAATAAAACAGGCAGAAGTCAACTTTGAGAGCGGTATGAAGAGTTTTGTAATTATCACGTCGATAAATTCAGAATCATGTCTTAATATCTCGCTATTATGGTCCTCGACGCCTCGCTCCTGAAGAAAATCAGCCCTTTGTAACCCTCGCAATGTAGTTTAGAGTGCAACATTCTTGTATTGCTCGTTACTGTACTGGCTGTTGTATTGAGTATTGTTGTACTGGCCGTTATCGTACTGAGCGTTGTTATACCCGCCATTGTTATACTCAGTGGGCGCATGTGGCTGTCCCGGCCACTGTGCTTGTGGTGGCCCGTATTGCGGCCCGCCCAGGAGAACAGTGTTCTCTGGTTTCGAAGTCTTGTTCCTTTTCTTAAAGAATAACGGTGGTGGTTTCGGTAGGTGGTTCACGACCAGAATGAAGAAAAATGTCAAGCAGAGCGTCGGTAAGATCCACGGTGTTGACTGGAATTGAGACGCATCGTGGTCGTTTAGGCTGATGAGAGACACGAGTGCGAGACCAAGACCAATCAGGAAATTCAGAACGGCTCGGAAGATGTTAAAGGCTGTCCATCGCTTCATACGGGAGATGATGAATAGGAGATTCATCAAAATAAGGACTATCCCGGCGGCCACGAATGTATAGATGAACTGTACATCAATTAGTCCAAACCTGATCTTACATCAAATGCATTCTGAACTTACCACGAGGTAGAAACGGTCCCAGTTCTCTGTGTTGACTTCAGTCTCAAATTCGGATGCATCGCCCGAATATTCAGTTTCCGCTATTGAATCGATTTTGAAAGAAGTGAAAAGCGAGTTTTCGACCGTTGTGAAAATGTTGACGATGGACTCATTGAAAATGCGGGATGATTCACTCGAATCGAGCGTAGGTAGCTCATAGAATGACTCATTTAAGCCCTTCAGCTTATCCAAGGAGTCGTCATAATCAATATAGGTATTGACATAGACTGGAGGGTACAGCTCGAAAACATCCGAGACTGTTTTATTGAGCGTGTTGAGAAACCATGTCTTGTAGTTTGCGCCATCTGGAACATCGGCACTGAAGGCATTATCGATCTTGTCGCTAAATCCAAAGATAACTTCTAGGATCTTCCACCAAATGATGAACTGTGAAGAGCCCTCAACGAATAGTGTCAGAGCCAAGTGGAAGGGGAAGTGGAGGAAAGCCCAGCAAAGCTGACGGATGGGTGGTAGGTGGATGTGTCTCTGCCAATCGAAGTATATCTGATAGACAATATACATTGTTGCTATTCCGGCTGTGATCACTCCAATCGTTGCGCCAGCTTCGGTTTGTTAGCCAAGCATCGAATATATTTTTTGGTTTCAAAGACTTACTCCAAGAATTGGGATTCTTAACGATTGTCGTCACGTTGGTACACACAACGATGATACCTTCGCCGATAATGATTAATGTCAAGAGGCTCATTCGATTGACCAGATGAGTTCCTTTAAAGCTCAGGACATCCCAGACAAGGGAGAAACCGACGTTAAGGGCAGTCTCAAGGACAGCAATGATATACCAAGCAATATACACACGACTATTGTAGTCTCGGAACCGAAATGTAATGCCTAGATAGATCATCGCGGCAACAAAGTGCAGTCCAACCATTAAGGAGAGCGGCAGTTTCGCTTTTTGGTATTTTCGAACGTGCCAGATGATAGTGGCGTACTGGACGACCATAAGGAGTCTCGAGACCATCAATATAATTGCTGGGGTCGCATGTCAGTGACCATCGAAGGTTTGATGCCATTGTCGGCATTGTTGAAGGGGAATACTCACACATGGTCCGGAAGGTCTGCTTATTCTGATCGCTGGGATCGAAGTTCGGTGCTACGACAGCAAAGCCGATCATCACACCCAGGTGTCCGGCTCTTAGAACTCGTTCTGTTCAATGCACTTAGTTTTAATGGTCCTAGAATACGCATCCTGCGAGTCTTACCGAAGACGCTATCCGTCACAAATCGAACATCGAAAAGGCCTACCAAAGCCCAGGTAAACCAAAGCATGCTTGTCACAAAGTCAACGAAAGTAGTTTCCTCAAACCGAGAGAAAATGCTCACCAAAAATACCCAACGTAGGAAGTTAACTTATTTCGATCTGTTACTTCGTGAACTTCCGAAAAGACGGTCAAGTTCTGTATTGCGGACAATTAGCACATCTTTTTAAAATCTAATCCAATATAATCATATTGTCATGGTACATACGGCAGCAAAGAACAGATCGAAGAACAATTCGATGTTTGTAGCTTCTTCATGCTGTGAAGAGGACTTAGCCAGGGCGTCACATCCACGTTCGGCCTCATGCTTACACGCTGAAACTCGGGGCAGTCATGATTGGGCCCGTCTCGAAACCCTAGAGACTCGACATCGGCCGGCGGTGCTTGCTGGTATGTCGACGACGAAGATGAGCTGGCCCTCTTTTCACCAACCAAAGGACTCCTGATCAAGCGAAGCTTGTTCGTTGTCTGCATGTGGCCGAGCTCATGGTCCTCCATGTTTGCTCACTCGAGTGGACTTTCGAGTTGATCGGCGGAGATGTGCGTAACGAGCAAGACATGATATCTACAGGTGGTGCAAGGGAATACTGCCTACATATATCGTGCGACCCCAGGCTTGGCGAGTCATGGGCGAAGCTATTCAACATACTACCATCCTCCCCACAGTGAGACTAAAGGCGGCACAGCCAGAATGCATGAGAGACCGTTTATCACACCCAGAGGATTATCAAGATTTGGCTTTGATCCAATCATTCGTTGTACCGCAGGAGATCATGGATCCTTTGGCGAGTGCGGCTGATGGGGCCTTACAGGGGATGTTTGCCTTATGAGGGCATGGACTGGCACCTGGGCGATTATCAATGACCTAGCTCCTCTGACCAAAGAATCCTACTCAGCCTCATGAGCTGCAGACTTGGTAGTGTGCCTATTGCTTCCTCCCACCACGGCACAGCCTTTCTGAAAAGCACCTGTCTCAGTCAAAAGAACCTAGCGCAGAGTAAAGAAAGCACGGAACACCAGAGCTCTATTACCTCCCCAGAGGCACATACCCTCAGATACAAACAAATGATCGATATTTTACGATTCTAATTGTCCACTGTATCTTGGCATAGCAACCACGACCTGCAAAACGCCTGTACAGTCATACTCGTAAAGAAACATCTCACGTCAGCAGCTATGTGACTCCTAAATAAGCTGCTGTAAAGCTTAATCGATCAACTACCAGTTTCAGCAGCAACGCCGAGATCCCTCGCCTCTCGGTGATCTGAAGAGGCTGCGGGGCTAGAGTTATTGGAGGGTCGACGGTTCGTGAATAAGTCGCTGACATAGATGCTTAGCAAACCGGTAGGAAGATTAGGTACGGCGCAGTTTGTCAGTGAGCTATAAAAAGCCAAGACATGATTGGAGCCCCGAGAGGCGCAGTGGCCCTACGTCTCCACCGAACAAGCTCGCTGCGCACCGACCCTGAACTGCTAGCCACGCTGGGGTCAGCCTCTGAACCGAGAACCTGGCAATGGCCGCGTGGCTTGGCGTGCCTTGATGCCTTCAGTCCACTCTTATTCCCCGTTTCAGTGCTCGTTTTCCGAATTCGGCGTGGTCTGATGGTGATGTGCATGAAGGTCTACAGATGAGATGATTTTGTAGACAAAATAGAGCTAACTTGCTATGTACACGCACGAATAGCTGTGTCTGACAACGCGATGAAAAACGGCATTTGGTGTATGTATGGTATGAGATCACCCTATGGTCAGCATAGCTCATATTAAGATAATTCATTCAAAATCTCAGAATAATAGCACTGATACTCTAGTGTAGACTTCATTTCATCCGTTAAAATGACTATAAATTTGGAGAATGGCAATTTTTGTGACACACTTCATGAAAAAGGCAAGCCACAGGTCACCAAGGCTCCCTGTGGCTGAAAATCCACTTAACGCGTCCTCAGTAAGGGGAAACCGCGACACGCGCCTCAGGAAAAGCCCGCGCAATGAACCCCCAATTAGCGTGACGACACATTTGTTGACTTTGAACTGCAAGCCACAGACCGCCTCCTGCATCCCCAAGAGATGCACAAAGACCCTCGCCAACACTTCAATTTAGTCTGACGGCTGCAATTGCCACAAAATGGACACACCTACTGGGAAGAAGCGTGGTCGACCCCAGAAGGATGCCGACTCACCGATCCCGACAAGTGTCAAGAAACGACGACTGAACGACGTGGATCCGTCTTCCCCATCCACCCCGAAGGCTCTGCAGGCCATTGCTTCGGCCATAACGGGTGCGTTTGGTTTCGGCCGGCGGAAACCTTCAGCACGAAGCGCTGATAAGGCCTGGGATGTTCCGGACTCGGATCATGAGGGCACGGTTGCGGCATCGCAACCGAAGCGAAAGACGCCGAAGCAAAATGGGACGGGTACAACACCAAAGGCACAGTCGAAGAATATCTACGATGTCCCTGACTCAGATGATGAAGTTGCGCCTGCCCCGACTTCTCGTGGTCGGGGCCGTAACAAGGAATTGACCGAATTGCATGAGTCTGGAGTGAACGGCAAGTCATTGCCAAATGGAAAAGAAGATACCGCAGAAAAGAAGAGGAGGCGTAGAACGAATGACTCAATCGCCAAAGAGAACGACACGAAGCAAAACTCCTCAAGAAGGCGTTCCGTTCGAGCGGAGCTCATTGAGGACCCCTCGACTGAAGATACTGCGGACGAAATTGCAGTCGATTCGCATGCGGCAATCAAGCCGAGACTGAACGGCAGGCGGAAGAGCCAGCCCGCTCAAGAATCAAGAGACGCTACACCAAAACTAAAGGGCATCCTCACCCCTTCTAAAAATCGCGGCATAAGAGGCCGGAAGAGTGTCGGTTTTGAAACCCACAGCGACAAGCTCGAAGAGGAAATACACTTTGATGACCTTCCTTCAAAGCCAACTAAATCAGCAACCAAGACGACCAAGACTTCCGAGAAAGAGATTGCTGCAGAGCCAGAATCAGAGGAAGCAGAGGAATCTGACGAGGAAGAGGATGAAGAAGTTTGCGTCATATGTTCGAAGCCAGATTCTGAGCCCCCCAATGAGATTCTCTTTTGCGACAATTGCGACATGGCTGTGCATCAGGAATGCTACGGTGTGCCAGAGATTCCCCTTGGGGACTGGTTATGCAGAAAGTGCTCTGGGGATGATGAAAAGCTAATGGGTGCTTCCGGAGAGGCCACATCCGTCATCGTCTCTGAGGACGTACCGGATATTCCCAATTTCGACCAACATCTTCGCTCGCTGCAGCGTGTTCTGCTAGATCGGTGTACTGGAAGGCGAAGGATCAAACTCCGAGGCCAGGATGAAGCATATGACACAACATATCAGCTTGTGGAACAGACCGTACTCGCTGGAGAAGGAAACTCTATGCTAGTGATTGGTGCTAGAGGTTGTGGAAAGACAACGGTAAGTGTACATCACTCAGACTTGCGAAGACGTGGCTAATATCCAGGAGATGGTGGAAACTATCATCACAGACCTAGCTTCAAATCATAAGAGCGAGTTTCACGTTGTGCGGCTCAACGGCTTCATTCATACGGACGACAAGATTGCCCTCAAAGATATATGGCGGCAACTGGGAAGAGAGATGGAAGTTGAGGATGAACTCGTCAACAAAACGAACAACTACACTGACACACTAGCATCTCTACTGGCATTGCTCTCGCATCCTTCCGAAATAACGCAAACAGAAGAGGGTATTACCTCAAAGTCCGTCGTCTTTATCATCGATGAGTTTGACCTTTTCGCCACGCACGCGAGACAAACCTTGCTTTACAATCTCTTCGACATTGCTCAGTCAAGGAAAGCCCCCATTGCAATTTTGGGCCTCACAACTCGTATCGATGTAGTAGAGAGCCTTGAAAAAAGGGTCAAGAGTCGCTTCAGCCACCGATATGTCCATCTATCACAGCCCAAAACCCTTCCCGCTTACTGGGACATTTGTAAACAGGGTCTTGCTATTGACCTCGAAGATGCTGAGGCAGAGGGCGTGGACACCTCACTTGCTGGATTTGAAGAGTTTCTCAACTTGTGGACGGATAAAATCGACGATCTCCACAAGAAAACGGCCTTCAAAGACCATCTAGAGTACCATTACTACACCACCAAGTCGGTCCCCGGGTTTCTCACAACATGCATACTGCCCTTGTCATCTCTCAAGCCGACAGACCTGACGTGGAGAATGGCCCCCGGGATCAAGACGATGATCACCCTCGAGCCCCCTGACTCGAAGCTACATCTACTGTCGTCTCTGTCTGATTTGGACCTGTCGCTCCTCATCGCAGCGGCACGGCTGGATATCGTGGCTCACACTGACACGGTCAACTTTGCCATGGCTTACGATGAGTACACCTCGCTCATGGGCAAGCAGAGGGTGCAGTCTGCCAGCTCTGGCATGCTTGCATTGGGGGGTGCAAGAGTTTGGGGTCGGGGTGTCGCGGAGATGGCTTGGGAAAGACTCATTACTCTCGGCCTTCTGGTGCCTGCAGGTCTGGGAGGCAGACGCACGATAGGTGCTGGTGGTTTGGAGGCGAAGATGTGGAAGCTCGAGGTTGCGCTGGAGGAGATACCGCTCGCTGTCAAGCTCAATGCCGTCCTTGGTAGATGGTGCAAGGAGATATAATTTTACTGAAGCTTAGTGGTTACTTTGTATCAAGTCACTGAAACACCTCTTCATCTTTACATGGAAGAGCGTGTTCGTAGAGGCTACGATTGGCTAGTAACCCCTCTTTCACTGCTATTACCCCTCTTTCACTGCTATTTTAGCCTTCATCAACATCGCCTGGGTAAAGGAGAACCTCATTTTTTGTGGCTTGCATCGTCAAGCGGGAGAACGATATTGCGGCCCAACGAGTTTTACACTGCAATATTAGACTATCGCCACACTTGCTCTTGGTTGTTTGGAGACAGAAATGTTTGTAGTGCAACAAATACCTGGTTCAAGCAAGCGGCATTTCCACCATGTGTTGCCACTACGTATGCACGCTTGTAGGTTGCATCACAGACTGACAGGATAACAGGATCAGGTCCACTGCACTGCATTTAGTCTTTCAGGAGATTGCGCTCAAGATCTTGGTAAGCCTTCCGATCAAACCTCATGAGACTGAACCAACTCCACGCCGGAGTGACCATCCACCTTTATCTAAAACTTGACTTACAGCCAGTAACGCAGCAGCAGAATAGTCACAACTGCTTCATTGTGAAGTGCCATGTTTAGAGCGTCCAACGTGCTGTTCTGAAACGAGTCTGGCGTCTAACTGACAGCGCCGCGGATGATCTGGTCGCTAATCTGGGGAATCTGGCTGGCCGAAGAGTGGTGCAGTCTCTTGAGTCTATTTATGGTTGCACTGCCACCGGCTACCAGCACAACGGCCCACGCCGCGCCCAACGGGAACACTCCATTCTCACCCAACACTGCCGCCAGTAGCAAATCCCAAGCTACAATTGGCTACTATCCGTCCTTTGAAAGCCTTCTTCGGTCTCTGCGCTATCCGGACTTCTTGTTGCTTCCCTTGAGAGTCTTCATCTGACATGCCATATCTCGGCAGAGTGCTGTAAGAATCTAATATTCTCCCTTAACTCTTTATTTCCTCTGTCTCAGTAGACGTGCGTCTACTTCTTACCTATGACCTGAATTGTCTCGGTGCAAGACCTGGTCATTCTGTGCTACTACGCTGTGACAGTCTCACATGCCGCAGCCGGGACTCTTGACTTCCGGCGACTTTTGAAGTCGATCTCTTCCTCTTTCCACAGTATTATCAAAGCTCTCTCTTCAATCTGTTGTTCTTTCTTCCAAGCGTTTTGATCATCCACATGTCCGGTGTCTCTCGCACAACCGTCGTTTACTAGCCATAGAGGCCGGGAAAGTCAAATCAGTGGCGGCTTACGTTCGCTGCACATTGTCGGCCGCCCGTGCTTTTCACTTTAGAGAGCTCTTTCTATCGTCGCTAAACGATATTCTAAACTCTCATTATCCGTTCTAGAAATTCATAGTCGCCAAAGATGTCAAAGAGGACAGTATTCACAACAATCAGCCCCCTACCACCGGGCATCACCCGAGAAGCGGTCCTCGACTTCCTGAAGGACCACCTGGGCATGATCGACCTGAACCCGCTGATCAAGGAGCGCCATCCCATCAAGCCGCCTCCGGAGGCGGAGCCGGAGGAGGTCCACTGCACTTGGTACTCGCTGACGGACGAGATCACCTACCTGCCCGGCGGGCTGGCGACGGGCGACGTCAGCTACACCTGCGCCTTCTACGACCTGCCCAACGGCATCCAGACGCACTGCCGCGCGCCGCTGGGCGTCGACATCCGCGCCAAATGGAGCCTCAACGGCACCCTGCCCGGGGAGCCGCTGCAGCCCGTCGAGCTGGGCATTGGCGCGCCGCAGACGGGGCTGTATATCCGCGAGGACGTCGACCTGCGGTGCAATCTGCTCATGGCGGGCTTCGTCAAGAAGAACCTCAAGAAGTCTCACGGCGTCCTGATCGACCGCCTGGTGTCCAAGGCGCGGCTCAATGCCCGCAACGGCTCCGGCGACCACCAGCAGCGCGACCGCCTAAGCACAGGGGAGAAGCCGTCGTCATTGCGATCATGGAGCCCGGCGCGACCTCCGCCGTCACAACCTCTCGGGTGGCCGCCAGCGACACAGGACAGCGCGGCTACGCCGCCGCGTAGGACGAGCCCTGCGCGGTATCCGCCAGCGTACACACCGTCCGGCCGATACCCGAGTCCTCACCAGAGGGACATGCACAATCAGCTGCATCTGTACCAAGCTAACGGCCATGATCACGTTGTCCCTCACCAGCAAGGACACGGACAGTATGACTCCGCGCCCGTCTCCCAAAGGTCAAGCCCTGCACCGCCGTACACCCTCCCCACGCCTACGAACCGTGACCCATCCCTCTATCCCAATCCCCTACGGCTGCGCAACTCATCAACCAGCTCCGCAGGCAGCCAAAGGGATATCAGCGCTCAACCGTCTTGGAACCAAGACAGCAGCATCAGCAGCCACCACCACCAGCACTCGAGGAGCGCCAGCACGCAAAGCCAGCCGCACGCAGACTACCCCGAGATGAACCCCTACTCCGACGGCGCAGGAGAGGACACCACGCCGCAGGAGCAGAAGCAGCCGCAGCCGCCCGTGTTCATCGCGGAGCTGAGCGGGCACGATCCGCGCGACGTCATCTACCGGGCGGGCTTCAGGCCAGACGAGCTGGCGGATCACCCGGCGTCGCTGCGGCCTGGGACCAACAGCAGCAGGATGGCGGGGACGCTGAGTGGGCCGTTCGTCGCCGAGCTGGAATGAAGGCTAGTGACCGGTTGGTGGTGGTGGTCCGAAAATAAAGGGCTTGGTCCCCTAATTAAACGTCTTATTTAAAAAGTTACGATTTTTACGAGCTCGAGGAATGCATTTTCGGGAGCGGGTCCGTGTTTGTTTGTTTGTTTGTCATGTGCGGCTTTTGTTTACTTCCAGGGGCATCGTTTAGGTGTTCGTTGAGTGCGGAGATTGTTGTTGCATTGATACCCCAGGAGTATCGGGTTCCCATCCAATCCAGTTCAGTTGAATCAAGAGTCACTTCACATTCACGGTCACTTCACCTCGCAAGATCTCGTGCCAACCATCCAGTGTAGTAAACTGATAAAATTGATCATTCTTGGCGCCCACCATTAGGTACACGAGACTGAGACCGGGGAAGGAAAAGAAAAAGGGAGCAAGCAACGACCAGGGCAGGAGAGAAAAGCCAAATGTCCCAAACCATGCTTTGAAAAAACTATCCTACCATACCATACATCTGTGTCCCTCCCCTGTTCCTAGATTCGTCTGAGGGGTGGGGGGGAGAGAGAGAGGATTTCCAACAATGCGCGCGCGTTTGGTTTGCGTTTTCAATAAATAAACAGTCCTGTACAATACACTCTTTGGAACCGTTTCCCCCCTGATCCAGATCACGCGGCCATCCCTCCTATTCCCGAAGGGCGCTTTTGCAGTGACGTTGCCGGGGCGGAAAAAAACGTGCCGGTCCGACCAGTCCAGCCACACATCTCGGATACGGGCCGGGGAGGGGGAAGGCAGACCGGCGTCTTTCTCTTAATTGGGTAAGAGATGTCATTGATAGAGGGGGTGTTGAGATGTCGTTTTGAGAGAGAGAGGTCAAAAGACAAGCCCCTTACAGGACAGCGGCACCGATGGCAGCGGCGCCGACGGCGACGGCAGCGCCGAGCATGTTCTTGACGGCCGGGGCACCTGCAACGACGACGTAGGTCGCGCTGGGGGAGGGCACGACGGGCACGGTCCAGACGCCAGTGCCGGCAGGGGGCGCCGGGGTGGGCTCAACGGGGACCTCCTGAATAGGGGCGGGGGCATTAGCGTCTGCGCTGGCTGTTGGACTCAGGGGACGAGCGACTTACAGTGACGATCGTGCAGGGGCAGTCAGTGACAACGAGGTGGGTGGGCTCGGTGACAGTGTAGCAGATCTCGTTGAAGGTCAGGACAGTCGGCTCCGGGCAGTAGGTGGTGAACTCGGCAACAACGGTGGTGACGGTGGTGGTGGCGTTGGAGAACGAGGTCACCGTGGAGGTGGTCTGAGCAGCAGCGCCAGCAACGGCGGCGGCGAGGGCGAAGAGAGTCTTGGTCTGCATTTTGGCGGTTGGTTGTTTGGTTGGCGATTTCCGAAGAAAGGTCGTTGGTGGTTGTTGGAAAAAGAGTGTCGACGGTTGGCTGATTAGTTATTAACGAGTGGTCTGTCCCGAGGGATGCTGTAGCGAGCGACTGAATGAGTGTATGCGAATGTGATGAACAGAAACAAAAGAGAATCGCCGAGAAACGGGAGACAAGAGTTGCTCTTATGGACGAGCTCTCGAAGCCTGTCTCCGGCTGGATCACAACACGAGCTTCAACTACCAAACATGCTTAATGTCCATCTGAGACATCGTAAGTTTAATTATCGACCAATCACTTGAGTCTCTTTTCAGGTACGATCAAAACAAACGTCGCCGGACCCGTGTGATGTCGGTGTTTCTCGGCCGTCAAGAATGTGGGTGAGCCTCAGGCCCGGAGCGTCTGGGCATGGCTTCATTCCAGCCGCTCCGTCCAGACTGCGGGCAACGGCTGCGGCGCGCCGCCACCGCGTCAATCACACATTCCATCCGGCCGATGAACAACCGAGCTTGCAGCACGCGCGACCAGTTTGACACATTTTGTATACGATTCCGTAATTTCTCTCGAGGCCAACTCCTGACGGGGTCACACCTCCACCGCGCTAGTTTGTTTACTATGTACACAAAATGCATGCAAACAGAGAGAGCCTCTGTCCCCGGCCTCTCGACGGCTCCACTGCAGAAGGCAGCTGAACCCTCATCTGATTAGACGATATATAGCATAGGCTTCGCCTTCCATGAACATCAGGAACTTCAATGCCAAGATTGGTCCTGTCGCCACTTTCAACAATGTGGTTCATGTCGAAACCAGACCCATCGAGATCTGGGCCGGGCAGAGCCCAGTCAGTCAATCCACTCGCTTCCCCTTTCTACCGTAATAAGCCGTAAATGGGCTTTGAAGAGTTGAGCCACCCTATGTTTTTAGAGTCTGCCGACTCTTCATGTTTCTCTCTATGCATGGTATCCTTTCCAACGCCGTGGGTTCCTGAAGAGACAGTGCAAATGATTGTTAAGGTGAAAAGAGGCGGGCTTTGTGGCCATTAATAAGGGAGGGTTTCAACGCCAAATCAAAAGATGCAGGGAGGGGGTGTATGCATCGAATCATAAAGCAATGACTCCTGTCAGCTAATGCTAGCCGAGGTGAAGAAGAGAATCTATGCAAAGCCTGTCATGAAAAAAATGTAGCTGGTCGTAACAAGGTGAAGCTGGATGCAAACGAAAAATTTCGGGGACAAAGGAGCAAGCTGCTTTGGCAGTTCCACTTTGTAGCGTGTATGGCGGGTGCGTTCCCGCGTCTGCTGCTGATCGACAGGGCAGGATTCCAGTGTGAAACCACATCGTGTTTATTTGCGGTTAGATCTGCTCTGGCTTCGCTCAGGAACGCGGCCTTGAGCACCGCCAATCGCGATCGAATCAAAATCATAGTGCTTGAGGGTATGCTCGTATTTGGGGCTCCGCAGGAATTTCGGCACCGAATCCTAGTGGTTTGTTAGCACCTCGTCTTTTAACCACAAGATCATGACTTGTCTTTCTACTCACACTAGCCATCAACTTGAAAACAGCATTCTGAGCATCCTCAAACAGCGTTGTGACCTCGTGCAGAGTGTCGATCATAGCAACGTCCTGTCCCACCGCTTTCGTCATACGGGTTGCAAGATTATTCCGAAGTTGATGATCGATATTCAGTTCACAAGGCGAGCCGGGAGCAAGGAATGCGTTGTAGATCCCATATGCCTGAGCCATAATCTCTTTGATCCCATCCATGCTTGTGGCGCCTGGATTTTTCTGAGCCGCTCTGATGGCCAGCTTACAGCTCCTGACAAACTCGTCCACATCCAGATAGAAGGACAGGTTCTCTTCACAATGCGTCTCTCGCAGATTCTCACGGAACAACAAGCGGAGCGCAGCGTCATTGAGGATCTTGTCCAGGCGCTGGGTGTTGGAGTCTCGTGCAATACCAGCTCTGGTCACAGAGGCTGCGTCGCCCTCTGAACTTCTGCCTCTGGAGCCTCCACCACTAATGATGTCCTTGCCTCTTGCGGTGAGTTGATAGATGGCATGCTTCGTCGGCTGGTACAGCGGGCTCCCAGGGACCTGCTGCATGTATGACCTGTCCTGCTGGACAGCCTCAATCAGATCATACTCGACGAAGAGGGAAGCCAGCTCGATTGTCTCCCGCCGATCCACCGTTGTGCAGCAGTCCATCAGCCAGTCAGTGGCAGCCTTGCCAGTGAAGGTGTCCTTGAAGGTCCTGCCACCAACTTTGCGCTCCGCAGCCATCTTGACACCGGTGAGACCGTCGCGGTAATCGCTTAGTGAGTCTGAATCCGCTGAGCTCACGCTCGCCTTGATATTGGGGCCGTTGGCTCCGATAAAGCGTCGGAAGATGACCTCGATAGTTCCGCGGTCACTGATCAGCTTGTCCGTCTGGGCGTCCCTCTCCAAAATGACCAACTGGGTCAGAGAAGACCCAATGAGCTCTCCAACTTGCTTTTGCTGTATTCCATTTCTTGAGCAGAATCGGTCCAGAATACAGATGCCCTTCGGCGTCAGCTGCCAGACCTGGCCCTTCATGGCGTATACTTGCTGGTACTTCCCGTCAGCCGATTCGATAAATCTCGCCTCTAGGAAGCGCTGGCATATTGATCGGGCCATATCTTTGGCCATCGAGAATGTGGTAGTTGTGGTTGTGGTAACGATCCGAGAGGGGTCCTTCGGATCAGGCATTCGGTTCGACTGTGAGAACTTCAGAGACCCAAGGTTGTTGATGGCATCCTCAGACAGGAAAGTGTGCTCGACCTTGGTGAGGCGCACACGATGAGCTGATAGGGGCAACAGGCTGACGATCAGGGTAGAGAAAAGGTCCTTGAAGTCCTGTGAAGACAGTCAGCAAGTCTCGCTCTGTTATATGGCAGAAAGTGAGAAGTTCGTGAAGGTACTTTGGTAGGTGCGCCATGCCATGAGTAGCGACCTGAAAGAAAGCACCAGCAGCAGAGTCCAACTCACTTTGGTGAAGGGCCGGTCATCATCCGTCATGCGCAACAGTCTGGAGGAAGTTTGATGCATCTTGTTGTCTATCCTGGGGAGGAGAATGGGAGGTGGGTGGCTCCGGTCTGTCTCTGAGTAGGGCTGCGACGGGGGATCCTTGACCAGGTTGCTCTGGCTAGGAAATCTTGAGTCGGGTGACTGCGTCCCCAGCAGAGTGAGGGAGGATGAAGAGCGGTTCGAGGAGGTCCGGTACTGAGCCTTGTCGGGGGAGAGGTCGCTAGTGGGAGACTGGGGGTCTGGCCCTATGGACAGTCGGCTCAGAGACTGTCGAGGACGGACTTTCTGGTCAGAGATATTGGAGAAGGCGTTCTGGGTCCGGTCAATGGCGGCAGCAGCGAATGCAAACAGGCCGCCCGACCTTTGGTTTCGCGGAACGGAGCTGGTAGAGGGGCTGCTGGAGTGGTGGGCGCGGTAGTGGCTCAACGCAGCGCTTTGACCTTCGGGAAGAGGTTCGACGACGGACGAGTATGGAGCGCCGCGCAGGGAGAGAGTGCGATCGTGTGGTGGTTGTGGTTGAGGTGCGGCGGACGAGGAGTTGTGGTGGTTGTAGTTGTTTGCGTTGGACAATTGGTGGTCATGCAATGGGTTCAGGGTCGAAGATGAGGTTGAGCGGGAGGAAGACTGAGGGACGGCAGCCATCTAACACGGGAAGGAAAAAAAGAGAGGGTTAGTGAGGATCAATCAGACGTAATGTGTCAGTGAATTGGCAGGCCGGCTGGTTAATAAGAGAGAGCGAGTGAGTGAGTGAGTGAGTGAGTGGGTGAGAGAGAGGGACAAGGAAGACAAGACAATCGGTACGGTACAGTACGGCCTGGTACGGTACCACCAGCAAGCACTGCACCCGGCTGGCTCTGGCTCAGGGCCGCCCCCCGGAGCCATGTGCTGCTGTAGTGGGTGGCCTGCACTAAGGAAAAGGTAGTGGAGGGATGGAGTGGGGTGGGGGGGGAAAAGAAGAGACAGAACAGCAAGGAACAAAGGGCAGGCAACGAAGGAAAAGTGGGCCCTGAGTCAGGTAGACAGGCAGCGGAGGGTACTACCCACAGTGCGCACCGTGTGGATACTACGGTGCAGCCAATCTATTGTACCGCATAGCGAAGAGGTACAGTACATACAGTACATGTACCAGCATCTCAGATGCTGGGCTGGGTGGAGTGCCACCCTGAGCCCTGGAGACTGGAGTCCCCCTCAGGGAGATCCGCCCAGTCATCCGGCGCGCATTACAGCGGGCACTCTCTGGGCAAAATGGGCTCCCAGGGCTTGTACCGGTACTCCCGCAAGCCCAAGTCCCGAACTGGGGGGACTTTTCTGAAAATGAACCAAAAAAAACCCTTGGTGGAGTCACTGTCCACTTGCCGTTTTAACAGAGCAGAAAAGTCCCCATCCATGACCTGCCACGCTCCCTTGTGTCTTTTTCTCTAGTGTTCAGAGTAGTAGATACTTGGGATGGTAGGCAGGGACCTCAGGATTGGACTAATTGCAGGGAGGCAGCAAAAGAAAGAGGAAGAAAAAGCAAGCAAAACGGGGCTGGACCCCAAGGAGATAAGGGAAGGGGGTCAGGGGGACGCCTGCAATTGGCAGTCAGGCGCTGAAGAACTCAAGACGTTATTCCCAGCCAAATCCCTGAAGCGAGATCCTGGTAAGGCGGCGCCTTTGTCGCATCTTTTCGCATCGTTTTGGTCTCTCTCTCCAGTGGACCACTCCTCCCGAACTACTCTAAGGTGGCGGTCCGCGATCCAGCATGCTTGATGGAAAGCCACATACATGTTACGCTCAGCAAGCCGAAAAGCATTTGAGCTTCACATGCGCCGTAGCCTCTAAAACACTGTGCCGTACAGTACTGTAGAATGACGAAACGCCCGAGGGTCGGAAGCTAACAATGAAAAGAGCGGCAGTGATGAACAAACGAACGAGGGGCGGGGGTGAACTGGCAGGCTAGAGCATGATAGAACGTTTCTACTGCAGAACAATTGCGCGCTGTGGGTATCTAGTGTGACAGGGCCTTTATACTGCGTAGCGCGCTGCAGGTATAGCCTCGTAGTGGGTAGGTAGACAGGATGGGGGTAACAAAAACAGCGGCAGTTCTCTCTCTAGAGTAATAGCAGCCAGGGCGATGCAGAGAGGACAGACCTTGCTGGCCCCTTTCACGGAACACACCTTCTCCAGAGCCTAGTGGTCAAAGGAGTTGATTTGAGTGTCTATTCCTGATACCTAGTGGCTGGCCACTGGGCTGTCAGGAGGATGATTGATTATGTGCTTTGTGCAGCACCCCAGCAAGCCCAGCAGCAACGGATGAGGGGGAGAAGGCGGTCAAAGGAGGTACAGAAGGGAACAGTACGGCATGTACCCAATAGCTGGCGTGATGGATGGACGGTGCGAGGGAAGTGAGCGAGCAGGGGCAGGCATCTAGCGAATCGAGTTGGCTGCGAGAGCCTGGCGCTGCACGTCGGGCATGGCCAGCATGGCTAGCTCGTGGGAGGAAAGTCTCACAACATGGTCGGCGAGATCTGCGCGTGGCTTCCAGGGATCTTTCCCACAGCCCCAAACTGCTTTGGGCATGGCAACCCCTGCAGCCACGCCGTGAGAAGTGTGAGAAATGCTTCCATGGTGCGTCGCCAGGCCTTGGTGGCGTCCCCCTGGCGTCCCCCCCTTCCCCCCTGGTCGCACAAATGGTGCCACTCAGCAACGCTGCTGTGTCCCTCACACTGACTGGACTGACGGACTGCCTGACTGGGTACGGCGACTTGCCTGACTCTTGCACAACAGATGCTGAGTCCTGGCGAAGTACCCCTAGTCGCTAGGTATGGACAGTATACTGCATACTTCTGAACGGCCATGTGCAACTGCAACTACACCTGCAACTGCAATTGGGCAACACGGCACTGCGCCGGTCTCTTGGACTTGCGGGAGTGATTCCTTTTACCACCAACAGGTCTATTCAGTTGACACCTCGACTACGAGGCTCAGGCTATTGAAGTAGCTTTCAAAGGCTGTTTGTCTCGGCTGCCAGTGACACCCTGTTGTGTCTCTCCTGGTCTTGGTGCTGCCTCTGCAAACCGAAGAGCCACTTGGCTCTTGTTGCTGTACTACAGGGCGGGGTCGGAAATTCATTGTAGACAAACACGCATATACTTCGTTTGAAAGCGGCCACTGGGCACCGACCAGGCAGAGTCATTGAAATTGAAAGGTTTTGACAGGTTTCCAGCCATTTGGCGCCCACCAGCCGTTGGGCTGAAGATGTGTTTGAGGGGAGATGAAAAAAGCAACATCGGATCCATGGCGTACCATTGGGCAGGGAAAGGGTGCAACATGATGGAATTGAAGATAAGCTGGAATTTCGGAAAGCAAAGCCCTGCAAAATACGTACCTTGGGTGGTGTTTGCTTATTGGCTTGGCCGCGTGTGTTGGTGAAGTAGCTTTCAGGGTTTGGTTGAAGGGTGCTAGGAGCTTGGCAGTATTGACAGGGTGACTTGCGACGACTGTATGGATCACGCTCATCAGATGCCGTCAAGAGGCCGGCAAGTTATGTGTAAAATTGCGCCAAATTTAAATCCAGATTGACGGAGGTAGGTAGTGAGGGCTAAATGTCGATATTTGCCTGGTGAAATGATAACGACAGGATGAGGCTCTGAGAGCCACGGCAGGTATCTACCTAGGTAGTGACCAATGTTCGTTATTTCCAATTTGGCCTGGTGGAAAATGGCAGCTGCAATGAGGGACACAGGTATGCATCAACTACCTCAAAGCTGCCAGCGTCTTATTCCAGGTGCCTAGCGCCCGAGAATTAGCCCTTCTGCTTCTTTCAAGACGCAGCAGGTAGCCTCAACGGAAGAAGGGGTGACGGACAATGTATCCAGAATTTCAGGGGCTGTCTGCGTGCTAGAGCGCCACAAACGTTCCAGTGGAAGCTGTCAGTCAGCCTGCAGCCAATTGATGGTTCCAGAACAGCCGCGAAATCCTTCTTTGAAGTCAAGGTATCGACGCCCAGGGTTTGACCTCGAGGTACATGAACTACCTGACAGGCGGATGGTCAGCTATGAGTATGATGATCTCAAGATGCATCAAATTGTGAATCGAGTTGCTGGTCATTGGCTATCCCAAGAGACAGGCCACAGAGACTACACACTGTGCTCGACCCATTTGCTAGGTCCTTGATTTGTTCTGGAGAGCCGAGGAACGCAAGCAGACCCAGAAGCCAGAGCCAGACCCTTGGGAATGGATGGAGGCTGTTCGGATGTGGAGCGCGCCTTGTGTCAGGAACTTGCAGAGTTTTTGTTCCAAAACAATTTCTAGAAGGAAATTGAAGACGGAAATTGGCAAGGCATAGGGCGGTGGGCCGAACAACGAATGGAAAGGTGGCCAGGCGCCAGGGAGTCGCATGAATTTGCGGAGGGGATTTGCTGACCTGGATCACGACTGAGTCAAGTTCCGAAGGACGGGGTTGCAGGCCAGACGCATCGTCTAGCAATCCCGGTTCCTTGACGTTTGACGTTTCGCTGTTGCGTAGCTTCTGCTTGCTTTGTCGTCCGGCGATGGTACGGTACGGTTTAATTTTAGAAAGATGAGGATAAGGGAAATAAAATCGAGCCTGTGCCCACTAGCAGCGTGTGGAAAGACCAACAGATGGCACCGCCGGCGCAAGTCTGCAGCACCGTCGTTGTGGCGGTTCGCTCCTATGGATGCACTCAATTTCTCGTCGTGAAATTGCGTTCTCGTGTTGCGTCCCAGTGGTTGTTGGACTTGCTCGCTGGCTTGCCGACAAGAGGCGCTGCTGGCTTCGACTCTAGACCAAACGAAAAAGAAGAGGGACAGGAGAAGAGAGAAAAGGAGTCGGGTCGGCCGAGGTTGGTCCATTGATGGAGATATGTAATTATTGTCTGAGCGAGAGTAGGTAGGTACACCTATTCCCAAATTGTGCTTCCACTCCTCCGATCAGATACGGCCTGCTCGCTTGTCAGCCTGGCTGCCTGTCTACGCGCTTCCGGGGTTCATAATAATAAACGCCTCTCTATGTGCTCGAG